GGCCCGTCGCCACCGCGGGTGCGGTCACTGCTGCGGATCTGCCATGTCAACGTCACTGCTGCTGGGAGGCGGCACCCATGAGCTGGCCGACCAGCTTTGTGCAGTCCGGCTAGCCGAAGATTCCGCCCTGGTTCAAGGGCTTCGAGCAGTCACCCGAGGAACGTCATTATGATCGACGTAGGGTGGGATGGCACAGGGGTTAATCCCCTCTTCCCTTAGCCCCGCTCGAAGGAAACTGCCAGACTTTCAATAAATTCTATTTATTCACCTATTTAAGTTCATTTAGGAATATACTGTTGCATATTGTCAGTCTGCTGAAATTGATGAATTTTTCGACGTGCCACTCCCTGCGAGCCATGGGAAGAATGTCATTTTTCTTTGCTCAGAATGGAGTAAAGCCAATCTGAACCTGCACTATATTTCTAGCCTGCTATTTTATTCTGCTTACGCCGAAACAGCTTCAATGACTTCCACATCAATATATATTTATTTAGAGCTTAATTAGAATTCATGACTATAACGCACGCAAATCAACATGTTATCATGTTTCTTTTATTGCATTCAAATAGTGAAAACCTCAAATAACATTGTGCCTGTTTGACACATTTACAGACAGTTCTTCACAGGTTGCCTCTCAACGGGCTCTAAACGGGCTCTAAACGGGTTAAAACATCAAGTGTAGGCAGACACATACTCCTTGTTCAGGCTTAAGTGGCTCTCGAGAAATACGGTATCCAGCAACAGATGTAAGATCAAAATTCCACACGATCAAGTGTACTAAACAGACGTCAGCATCGGAAGGCTCTGGCACAGGATGCACATGCATTATCACGCGGCCACAAAAAGAAAAGCTTCACACTTGACGACGACGGCACACTGCATAACGCGCCTACACATTGTTTTGTCCGGCCGCAAGTGCTGGTCAGAGTGCGATGGCCTCCATTCGGCACTCCCGGCGACGTTTCTGTAACGATACCGAATACGCGAACGTGGCTATCGATGCGATTACGAAAGAATGTTCAATCGTCTGGGGATCGCAAGTCTGAGCCCAAGCATAGAAAGAAAGAACAAAGAACTGGATGAAACGTCGATAACAAGCAACTTCTAGAGGCGCTTAGCGGTGCTTTCGTCCAGTATACACGAGTATCAGTGAGTCGCACGGAGAACGATTCGTAATTGGACCACTCAGTGGAGTAACGATGCTACTGCTCATAGCACTGGTCGCAGTCATTTGTCTGCACACCGGGACTACAGCCCACATTCACTCAAATGCATCGACGACGACAACTGTGACACTCCCCGGTGAGTTACGCCAACTCGGCAAACAGCGCATATCTCTGCAGATAACAAGGTGTGAAGTGTGTGCATCTATAGGTCAGAGTTCATGACAGAAACTGCTAAGTGTCACGGAGGGGAGCAATGCTATTCGTGTAAAAGACAGCTTTGAAATGTTTCGCTGATGTGACTACATGATTCGGGAATGCAGGATGGGGTGTGTACAGTGTCGCGGAAGTGCATTCCGCTCAGGGCTTCATAAAAGTACGCAATAAAGAGATTTGATTGGTAGATATGTGGGGTTTAACGTCCCAAAACCACCATATGATTATGAGAGACGCCGTAGTGGAGGGCTCTGGAAATTTTGACCACCTGGGGTTCTTTAACGTGCACCCAAATCTCAGCACACGGGCCTACAACATTTCCGCCTCCATCGGAAATGCAGCTGCCCCAGCCGGGATTTGATCCCGTGACCAGCCGAAATAAAGAAAGGTTGTTTCGGCATCTGATGTAAGACCAAAAGTCTTGAATCAATCTTGGCAAATACACTTTTCGAAAAGTATTCTCAAATTATATCGTTATGTTTAACATTACCATGCCTACACATTCACAGCTACGATAGCATGGTAGACGTCGGTCCAAAGCGGTTAATAAGTGTATCCATCAAGCAGTCAAGTGTTATCAAGGTGCTCTTTAAGATTATAACAACACCTCCAGACATTCTGACAAAACGAAACCAAACTGCCTAAGCATCAGTTATCTATTGTGGTTGTAGTGCTGGCCAGATCATTCGGTGGTATCGAGGTCGAATTCTTGTCTCGGCGGGAGCATTTTGGCACAGCATTACGGCAGAGCATTTTGGCTGAGTCTCCTGTTCTCAAATTCAGAGGTGCATGTGAAAAAAACACGAGATGGTAAAATTTCCGCAGCCACACTACGTATATCCCATAATAATGCCCTGGTTTCGCCACGTAAACCCCCAAGGATTATTACCGAAACCGAACTGCAAAGAACACTATGTATTTCAGGCCTGGACGCATTGCATTTTTCGCACTGAAGTTATGTGAAAAGGACTCCGTGGTCTAACATGAATTGTTTTTGTATGGTGTTAAACATCCATTCAGTAGCCCAGGGTAATATTATTTATAGAGAGACGACGTTGTAGAGGGCTCCGCGTAATGTTGACCACCTGGGTTTCTTCAAAGTGTACAGACCTAGTTCTTGGACCTCTAGCATTTCAACACTATCTGAATGCTACCAAAGGGGCGGATATATGAGCTTTCATTTGGCGAGTGCCTAAAATGAGGTGCTTGTTCACTTCATCTGTCAGAACCCTTCACTTGCGGATATGATGCCTTCACTTGCGGATTTTTCACTTGCGGATATGCTGAACTGAACACGGGTTGTAAGCGAACATTCGGTTACAAATACGCAGCGTCCCAGTTTACTTTAACCAAGCGCTAAAAAAAAACCATGACAGAACTCGTACAATAAGACGCTATTAAACGCATACGGTGTTTTGTCATAAGTATCATACGCATGTGTGTGTTCATGTTTTGTTCGTGTTTATTTTTTTTTATTTCTCTCTAGATCAATTTCAAACTTCTATTCAGCAACCCCAGTGCAGGGTGGCATACCGGATCCTCAAGCATCTGGTTAACCTCCCTGCTTTCCTTTTTTTTTTCTCTCTTGTCATATGTACACCTTCGACATTTATAGTTGGTCGGTACATATGTGACTCACGAAGTTAAAAGCTAACACAAAAATAAGACACCTAAACGGGTAACCTTAGGTATGATACCTTGTGCACCGGTTGGTGCGATGCCCTTGCATTTTTTGTGTGTGTGTATGTGTGGTGGCCTGGTAGATGAGCCTCTAATATAATCATTGCCCTCGCAGTCTAATATTTTTTTTTAGAAAATGCACCATTTCTTGGGGAATTCCGGCTAGGGCATTTCAAAGCTTAACAAGTATAGGTTCGATTCCAAGTTACTGCTGTTTCATAACGACAATGCAAAACGATAGGTATAGCGCGAGCACAAAACGACGACACAGAGACAAGAAGGACACGAAGTGTGGCAGCTTGGGCTAGTTGGTATGGCATGACGATAATTATAGCGCGAGAACAAAACGACGACACAGAGACAAGAAGGACACGAAGTGTCGTCGTTTTGTTCTCGCGCTATCACTATCGTCATGCCATACCAACTAGCCCAAGCTGCCACACTTCTAAGTGACAATGCAAAGTAATATAAGAATCCTTATTTATCGTTGTGTGGGTGTATTGTGCACAACTCCAGGTGATCTAAACTGAACATTATTTGAGCTTTATGCAATTGTTCCTTGCTGCAGATCCTCATAATGATCAGTACTGCTTTCAAAGGTAAATCTAAAAAATATTCTTATTAAGTATTGCAACGTTTTCCCTGTTATTTGCTGCTATACTAAACTATTTGCACTGAACTAAAGTCATTGCTTTGTACTTACAAGAAACATGCGAGATGTATACAATCACCATACTTTTTTTTTTTGTCCTCTTTATACTTGTTCATGCTACTTTTCAATGGTATGCAAAAGGGCATTTATTTGCTGTGTTTACTTTTTGTTTCGCTTCGCAGCACCGAACATGTGCAGTAGTTGCTACTGAATGTTTTAAAATTTGGCCGAGGTTTTTTTTTTTATTTTAAATATAACTATAACGCACAAGTAATCGAAATGTGTCAACAATATTTGCCCGTGAGCCAACTCGGTCAGATGTCTCGATGAGTGCTCAGCAAGGATGTACTTCTTATCACTGCGTCAACCTTTCAGCTGACATACAAAAAGGTGCGGGCATTGTTCCGTCAGCTGCGTTCATTCGACCCGCATGGCCGTACGCTTCTTGCTGGGACAGTGGTATAATACGTGAAATTCTACTCGAAGAACATTCGAGGGAAATTGATAACGGTAAAAAAGACTGATTGCTAACGAGGCGATTTGCGAGAATGACCGTAGCAAGAGCAAGAGTAGGGAAGCCTGGGCAGCGATCGTCATATATCGATGCTTCTTATTTTGCTTTTTGTCAAAGAGTGAACTGTTCGCAAGTAATCTCGCACTCATTTGTGAATAATGCTGTGAGTGAGTGAGCAAAGAATTAGGATAAATAATTGATCGTCAACAGCCTATTTTGTGTTCACTATAACACGAAAGCCTCAATAAAGGATGAGCAAATTACTAAAAGTGAACAAAGTAACGTAAGTGCGTGAGTGAGTCACTGCGTAAATTAAGTGAGGTAAATCGAACTGGGGAAACTAAGTGAGGGAATGAGTGGGTGAGGGTGTGAGTGAGTGAGTGGATGAGTGAGTGAGTGAGTGAGTGAGTGAGGGTGTGAGTGAGTGAGGGTGTGTGTGAGTGAGTGAGTGAGTGAGGGTGTGTGTGAGTGAGTAAGTGAGTGGGTGGGTGAGTGAGTGAGGGTGTGTGTGAGTAAGTGAGTGAGTGGGTGAGTGAGTGAGTAAGTGAGTGTGTGAGTGAGTGAGGGAGGGAGGGAGTGAGCGAGTGAGTGAGAGAGGGAGGGAGCGATCAAGCTCCGCGAGTTCTGTAGTGATGCAAAAGACAAGCACGAGGAATATGCGGCCGCTTTTGCTTAACGAGCCTCCGGAAAGTTCCAAGCTAGCGACAGTCAAAGTGCCACGATGTATAGTTGGGCAAGACTTGTCTACTTTACCGGTTTCGTCGCTATTTATTTATCATGAGGTGTCTCAACCTTCCCATTCTTGAATAAAACCAATGCCCATGTACACGTATCCCATATCTAAGCTGCACCAAGCTCTTTCTAACAGTTTGAAAAAAAAAGAAAATACACCGAAAAAACCAGGTTGATGGAGCTAAAGTGGTTGCCTATGTGTGTTGGTACGACACATTGAAAAGAAACAGCGCGAGAAACAAGGAACCAGACAGAAAAAGACACATACAGAGTGCTGACTTGAAACAAAACTTTATTCTTCAAACCACGCATATACACTTATGCACTGGAAGAAAAAAAAAAAGAAGTTGTCCCTCTCAGAAAAGGAAGTTGTCTTTTTGCATGGTTGACCGCACGTGCTATAAAAATGGTTTTATGATGTTCATGTTTTATTTATCTTCAACTATCAGTTTTGTTCCTTCTTTTCCGTTCCACTGCATTGGTATACATGCGTGGTTTGAAGAATAAAGTTCTTGTTTTAATTCAGTGCTCTTTGTGTGTCCGTCTTCGACTGGTTTCTCGTTTTTGCGCCGTTTTCTTTTTCAGGTTCATGGCACGTAAAAAAAAATTAAGTTTTTCATAAAATTGACTTGCAGCGCTGGTAAATCTTCGCACGTCGAAATTAACGACTACGCATTCCTCAGTCTCCACCAATGTCCCGATTTTGCTCATTTATACCTTTCTTCCTGATTTGGCCACTCGAATCTAGCTGATGAAATCAGCTGCAAACTACAGACTTGCTGTGCTAATCTCAGTTGATTACTCACCTTAGGCACTGCTAAACTAACCACGCTGATAGTGTAATGCAGTTTCAAAGATAATTAATGACATTATTTTATTGAGCGACTAGATATGTGCAAGAGCTTGTTTTTTCTCATTACTAAGTATCCCCCTTATTGTCGAGTGCATAATATATTACAATCATGCAACTTCTCAAGATATATTGTTTGGTTCTTACAGGTATTTGTGAATCTTTTGGTAACACGTTTTGCAACGTACCATGCAAAGTGGTGCCCGGGACAAGCGACGTATTTTTCTGCGAATGTCCAAAAAACACTTCCTACTTCGACGCGGCAGAAAAAGGCTGTTTGCGTAAGTTTTTGCTTTTTCTCCTTGTGCAATTCAATGAAGTTTATACAATATGGGATCTTATTCGCATAATATAAAGACATTTTTGTATGTGCATGCACACTATCATAGCAACGTGGGGGTTTACATTCTAAAACAACGATATGAATATGAAGGACGCCGTAGCAGAGGGCTCCAGAACTTTTGACAATCTGGTTATGCATAAGCATGTAAACGTTTCCACCTCAAAAATACAAAAATAACAGGCAATACTATTTCAAACTATGTGTTGTATTAAAAGGGTGGCTTCATTCTTCAATGTGCCTCACTAATGTATACAGTCTGTGTGCAGTCGATTTGTGATTCTCTGTATTGCATTTATTCAGACAGACTTCACATCACTTCCTTGAACGTGACAACAATATCATACCAGACACCTGACTAGTTTCAGTCAGTGTAACAGGAAACATTTGCACATTCCGCTACAACTGCCTCTTGGTGCGCTTAATAAAGCGTACAAGCAACATTATTTCAACGTACGTTTTCACGCGGGCATTTTTAGACTAACTGTTACTTCAAAAGCTAATGCACGTTCGCACTCTTATCTGTCTCTCTACAGCGAAGACATCTTGCAAGACAACGGAATGTGCTATCGGTCATTGCAAGCCTATAGATTCCAAAACAGTCACCTGTTCGTGCGACCACGTCTCCAACCTTACCAGAAAATGCGAAGGTAAGATGCCTTGCCCGCGTTGTTCCCCAAAGACGTGCTTAAAATGCCGCTGCTCGTGTAGTAATGCTCTCGTGATCATCTGCGCTTGAACAGCAGGAAGGGGAAGCTGGAAGCTCGCGATAAAAAATCCGTAAACAGGTGTTGTGGGCTCGAGCCCATGTTTTGACAAAAAGACTTGTCTTCTTCAAGGCTACAATTCATTTCCTTAGCGCTAGCGTATATATATATTCTTCGTACCCTCTCCTCCATCCTTACAAATGGGGGGAGATGGTGATTGTGGATACAGTGGTGGGGGAGGGGGCAGCGCCGTGATGAATTGTGTGAGTGAAAGGGAAAGAGGTATTTCAGGAATAAAAAAAAATAGGGGGAGGCGGGGTGAGGGGGGACGTTTCGCGGATTCGTGGTTCGGCGTAAGACGCTGTAGCGTAAACGAATGACAGCGTGGCAAAATAATTTAGTTGATCTACTTTTCTGGTTCCCAGACCGCAATAATTTATCTTTTCTTAACGAAGTTTGCCGCATGTTGCGAAGAAAATTGCTTGTGCAAATAGCGAATCATCAAGATAATCTTTCAACCTTCCGATGCGAATACGCCCAAAACGTGAACATTACAGTTTGTTCTAGAACTTACGTGGCCATTAGCGATAACGCTGGAATATTCGGTGACACATATATAAACGCCGCACCGCTTGTCAGTTTATCGACGACTCACGCACTGTTCGCCGATAAGACTGTACAGCGTTGATTGCTTGCTGTAACCTCAATTACTGTTTTACAGCCACAAGTTTGGCCAAATAAAGCGTTTCACCTTCAGGAAGCCTACTGCTGTCATCCCATCACCACCAGGTGAAATATATATTAAAGAGCCCCTAAGCTACAGTGAGTTCGAAGGCGACAGAGTGGTTTCTTTCTCGCCTTGTAACCTTCCCACAAGCGCCATCTCCTCCTCTCCACTTACAGCTTCATAAAACACGTGGAAATGTGAGCACTTACCCGTTGAGCCAGATATGATTTCGCACTGTCCCACTACAAACTGTTATCTGCACTTGCGCAGCTACGAACACCGAAAACGAAGCGAAGTCAGTTTATCGCGTACTATCATCATGCGTGACAAGGCAAAACGGGCGCGCGAATCCACGCCGAGGCAGAGTAGGGTGCAATTCACAACAAATGTATCTCGTATATCGATCAATCGAGAGCTTATTTCATCCAGACGATTCGTGAACGAACGGCTGTCGTCTCGAGCTGTGGCGCAAAGACGGGAAACACCAGGGAGAATGTGTCACTGGTTCTTCGGCCCATATTCACAAACCAACCACCGCCTTACATCACGTTTTCCTCAACTCTCTGTACTCTCTAAATACGTTATAAAGACCCAAAAATGGTAACAGGGCGAAAGGTAAGGACAAGACTGGTTCCTGTAGACTAATCCAATTTGTTTATCATATGCAATGAAGGTTTAAAACCAATAAGGAAAACTCGAGGAAAGTCGGAGGTTAGTTTGTTAAAACGGGCCTTCGTATTTCAAAAGGCTGTTTAGGAGCCCTTAAAGACGAATTTTACGCTTGTGATATGTACACTCCCATACTGTGTACATCGATCTTCTTCAGTGGAGCCAAGTTTTCAAGAAGACTGCACAAGGAAAGGAGGCCACGCCAGAGTGCCAGAAAAGTGGCAGCAGGGACCGATTTGCGACTGTGGCGATTGGGCGGCCATGGACGATTTGGCGGGAAAATGCGTTCGTGAGTAATGAAGCTCTCGTTTTGAAAAAGGCTTTCCTCTGTGAACTCTCTCCTACATTTGAAATTATACAACAGTATCAGTTTCCAGCATAAAGGAGCCTAAATTCTAGATGTTGCTCGCTCAGTAGCTGGTGTTCAAGCAATAAACCATAGTGCTGACATCTACAGTCACCGACCGGATAGGTAAGTCGCATGTTGTTAAGGGTAATAACATTTTTTATGATATTGCGTCTCTAAACCACATTATTACGAGGGACGCCGTATCGAAAGGTTCCGGAACTTTCGACCATCTGGTAATCTTTAACGTGCTCCTGTAGGTACAGGGTTAGAAGTTAAGCATCGCAACCGTAAGACTACCATAGCTGCTGCTAAGCGCCTGAGCTTGTCCACACGTACAATTGCGCTTCACCAGCCTGCAGACGCTGCTTTCATTTACTTTAACTGCGAAGCATTTCTTAGCACACTTCGGCAACCTTGAGCGTATCTATCTATCTATCTATCTATCTATCTATCTATCTATCTATCTATCTATCTATCTATCTATCTATCTATCTATCTATCTATCTATCTATCTATCTATCTATCTATCTATCCATCTATCTATATAGCCGATTACGTTTGGGTGCTCTCGTGGTCATCCCTTTAACTTGGCGTGAACCAAAATTAGCATGGCAGGGTAAGATGGTTTGACGAATATAACGCGCTGGTCAAGACATGAATAATGTCACAATCCCGTCGCGTACGTCGTCAAACACTTCCCGTCAGACAGTGGCACATACTCACGGGCGTATATGTGCCGCTGGTAAGTGGGTATGTGCCACAGGTAATAGACACTTCGTATCTACCCAAGAGCGAGGAGAACACTCATGGGCAATTTTAACGCGTGAGTGTTAAGCAATACCCGACATCGGTAGCATCGACCCAAAGAATGCATAGAATAAATGTCAGTGTTAGGAAAAATTGATATAGACAGTGTTGGCCATCCGACGAATGCAAATAATAAATTTCAGGGTCCCAGCAGGAATCAAACCCAAGCATTCTGCTTGGCAGTCGAGCATTCTACCATAGAGCTACGCCAGGTCTCAAAACTACTTTTCAAATAGACGCTAATCTTCGTGAAACGTCAATAGTGGTGGCACTGACTGCCTACCCAATGTTATAAACATTACATATGTACTCCTTTCATACAGCCGTCACGTCGGGTTAACGTCAATTGTGGGGAGGTGTCATGTGCTGAAATTGATTTAAGTAGCAGTGTCAAAGGGCCAGCATCTTCGCGAGAGTCAGTGCTCCATATGAACTTCTGGTGTTGCTATTACACATGTTCCAGTTGGCATCGTTGCGCAAGTGCAAACAACTGGCTATCCAACCATCTGCAGCTCTTCAACATATGTTTGTGCGTGCAACATTTGTACATATATTAAGCATCTCATGATGTTTCGCTAAATAAATGTAACACGGTCACCTTCTCTCCGCGTGCTTCGCATAAAGTTGAGTCCCAGGTACGTCGGATCTGCCGAATTTTTTTTTTACATTTCGTCTTTTACTTTCTTTGTCATTGTCATTGGGCAGCCGCGGTTATTCCATCATAAATGTTATACTCCGTTCACAGAGCCTCGGTCATCATTAGCGAATTATTCCATCTTTCTTACAAGTCTCTAAAGTGATCTGCGTAGTGTTGAACGCTTTTAGAGTGCTTAACAAGCAAAAAAAAAAAAATAGATGGGCACCGTTTTCATCTCAAAGCAAAAATATGAGTGTGTGATAACTTGAATTAAAAATAGAGAATCGCACGCAGTACAGATTGTCTATTCTCAGATGTTATTACACAACCCGTTAAGTGATACAGAGTGATAACAACTGATGCAACGCGCATCATAATTGCTCAAAGTTCCGCGAGAGCCTTAGCAACCACAGGGTGTTTCAGACACCCGGAGTCCTGTCGTGAAAACGTGCTCCTCGCACTGTTCATCACACGGTTTCTTCTTTTCAGAAATATTGGGCATTGAACGACTTTCTGTATGTGCGTTCCTTGCAGCCACCACTTGCTTGCATCCGGGAATCACCTGCTCACATCTTTGCAACAAGGGCTTGCTTGGCAAAGACTTACGTTGTTGTCAAGGCTGGGACGCTAAAGACTGTTCAAGTACGTGGTTTTATCGCTTCACTGTAGCTGAGAAAATCTCGTAATGTGCATGCGTAGTTCATCATGTGTTTTTCACTTGCTTTATTTTAATACTTTGCAATATACCAACTGGTCGAGTGCACCACTTTTTTTTCTTAACTTGGGGCTTCCATTAAACACAATGAAATACTATATAAAAATAACATACCATTAGAAAACAAGCACGAAAGTCACAACATTTTGAGGTACCGTTTTTAAAAAGTAACGTTTAGTTTATCTGGGGAGGAGCTTGGAATAATCAGCTTTGACGATAGTGAAAACGAGGCGTATTCTTCGTCTCTTTGGTTAACTAAAAAACCACACTGCTTCATTAGCCCACATGCGCGTTGATATGAACATTGCGAATGCATACATCGCAATTTTTATTAAGGTAAACGCCTTTGACGACTCATGATACGCGAAACTTAACCGGTGTCTCGCATTGGTGGCGTCAACAAGGGCGACGTGGAAAATTGCCATGACGGGATGATTTAACATGATTGTGACGACACAGATCGCCAATATTCTTCAGGTCATCGTGACGTCATCGGGTGACATCATAGTTTAGTCAGAAATAGAGTGATCATGTAGGCAGCAAAAAACCACGTTGGTTGCAGAAAGCTTTCAAATGGCTGTACAGGGAAGGAGGAGGAATGAGAGAAGCGGAAGGACAGGGGCGACTGAGAAGAAAAACAAGATCGCTCTGACTTTCTAGAGAAGATGGGGAAAATGAAGCGCATGCAGGGTGCAGCTTTCAAAACCATGTACTCTGTTTATCAGCCTAGCAATTTAGGCCATTGTTCGAGATAGTATGATTGTTTTCGAACCAACGGTCTCGCAAATAAAGCAACGGTGGCGCACGTGTGATTTCGCTCCCTTGCATGATGCGATAACCCGACTAAAAATGTCGGCTGACCACGAGTGCACGGAAGCGGTATTGTCCAATGACGGCCTGGACAGAGGATGTCACCAAGTCTGTAAGGCCCATTCGGGGGCTCATACGCTCTCTTTCATAATAAAGTTTTCCACCACCACCACCTGGCGAGAAAACTGTATACTTCAGACACTCCACCATTGTGACGTTGTTTTCGTTCTTTTTGTTTCAGACGTTCCTAGAGAAGGCTCGTACTGTACCCCTGGTACAATTTGGGACGATGATGAAGGCTGCATGGGTAAGATAAAATTAATTTCATCCACAATTACTCTTTTCATCTAATCTTGCTTCACTTTTGAGAATGTTACGAACCTCAGTGTCTCTCTCATTGACACGTACGCACATGAGCTACGTTTACGCTCTTCATCTAAGGCGGATGTTGCGTATCGCGATTTTCAAAACTAGTTCGAGAAAAATACCTAGGTATATTTCTTCTTTTGGAAGATCAAGCGCAATTTTAACAGCATTTTTAATGTTTGAGCTATCGGCGACTTGTGTTCCGTCGTCCAAAACACCACAGGTGGGTGTGCGCCTCTGGATTAGGGCAGGCCCTGCTACCGACTATAGCGGGTGCGAGCGTCAAGCGAAAACTCTGCTCGGTGAAGTGGTGCGCGAGAATCGCGTGAAAGAGACACAGTAAAAAGATAAAGAAAGCAAGAGAGAGAGAGAGATAAACGTTTATTTATGCGGGTCTATAGGGTCGTCCTCGTTGAGTGGAGTTCAGGGCCCCATTGGCTCGTGCCGCACCGCGTACCCGCTGGACTGGCCGACGCTGCTCCTATGGCGCTGAGCTGGTCAGCGCCAAGTCAAAATGAAACAGAGACAGAGTAAGAGAGAAAGTAAGCGATGGAATGAAAGAAAAGGGGAAATAGAGAGAAATATGGGGAATAGAGACATAAAAAGATAGAAAAAAAACTTAGAGCAAGAGAGATGAACAGAAACGGGTACAAAAATTTTATACAGAGACATTGCTCAAAACAGGAGAAAGAAAGAGAGATATGCGTAGAAATAGAGAGACGAAGAGATACGAAGGATTGATATAAAATACAGAAAATCAGACATAAATAGAAAGAAAGAAGGGCATAAAGAAAAACAAAGAAGAAAGAAAGATACACAGAAAAGAGGATGAACTAAGAAGAGATAATTGGAGCGATCAAGGAAAGAAAGAAATAAAGATTGAAAGAGCGGGAAAAACATAATAATTCCAAATAAAGAAAGGAAAAGACACAGGCACAGACAACAAGTTCAACCAACACAGAGAAAAAGAAAGAAAACGAAAATAAATAAAGAGAAAAAAGAAGGCTACCCAGTTCCGCTCTCCCTTCAGATTTCTTTTTAATGAATCAACTCCATCGAGTGAATTTCTCTATTTAATAATCACTGGAGCATATTGAACTTTGACGACATTGACGGGAGCTCACTTGGCATTCTACGAGATATAAAACAGCCGGGCAACGGTCCAAGTCGGCTGTCAGTCGCTTTAGCGCAGTTTTCACACAGTCCGCGTTATCTGTGGCAGTAGAAGCGTAGATATACTGTACGCTGGCCCCGGGACATCTACTGACTCTTGTACCTAAAAAGGTGACATCCTGCACATAGGTCGCTGGGATAACATACGCTACGGGGTGGTTACATATCATGTTATGATTGGCCCTTTTCAACATGCATTTGGTTTCTATATTTCATAACCACTTTCTTGCAAACGCGCCTCATTCCAGTATCTCAATATGATGTAAATAGAACTTTAAGAACAAGAAAATGTGAGTTATACCTGTCTACCTGGTTCACAGACAAAACAAAGGAATAGATCCTATATTCTGTTGATCCTAATCTTAAATACCAATTAGACCATGACCCACACAACGTATTGACACACTCATACATCACCTACGACTCGGCTGTAGGAAGTGCTTATACAAAGCACTTCCTACTTTGTACTCAGCGTGCAACATTGTCAGCCTGTTCATACGGCCACGACGACAATGATATCTGTCCCCTCTTGCTCGACGGTCCGAAACACGACACACACCGAAGGTGACTAGAACAGGAAATCCATAAGTTATATCCCGAGCGGCCATTTGTGTTGAAGGAAATACTAGGTTCGTGGCTATCTAAAACAAATGGCAAAGCAATGAAGGTGCTGCAACGCTTTTTCGAAGAAACGAATATTTGTGACGACTACTGAGTGGACAAAAAATAAAAGTGAACGTGGCGTCTACGTATTTGTTCTGCCCATAGGAGAACTTTTGCTCTCACCTATGCAGGTCTGTAAATATGTATATATGCTATTGTTTCTTTATTTGTACCAATCAAGTGGAAAGAGGTAGCCGTCTCCAAGTAACGGTGACAAAAACTTCTTCGTTTATTTTCTATTTTAATAAAAAAACACTTTTTTGCCGAATGAGTATGGATATTTGGTACGTTAAGAGTAAATTTGTGTAAAATCTACGATGTCTGGGTCAGATGACCGAATGACCACACTGAAAGCAACATACAGGATATGATGGCCGAATGCGCGGGCTATATCAGCTCACGTCGTGCTACTTCTAAAGATTGTCACCGACTTAAGAAGTAATTACGTCTACCTATGTGATAAATCACACAAAGCAATAGCTAAAGTTGTTTGCCGCTTTCCACGTTTCCCCTGATGCTCTTACAGGGAGATCAGTGCGTGTCACGTGATCATACTTTGTTAATATTAACCAGAAAGAATTAACCTTCTGTGCCGCCTGCGGCTCGGGGTGGCCTTCACGACTACCTACTCGTCTCGAATTGGAATGGCCGGAAGCCAGTCATTTAATGATGGTAGTTTCGAGAAGACGATCACCCATCTTCTGTGTGAGCGCTTTTGGTTCAATGCACCAAAAAAAAAAAAAAGAGCTGTCGAAAGTGTCATAAACTGGACAATCACCCATCGTCGGAAGAAAACGTCTTAGGACACTGACCGAAACAGTCCCCGGCACGGAAAGCTTTGAAAGCGTTGTGGCGCTTTTCACAATCAACTAGTTGCACACAGAATTTAAACAGAGTTGACTAGCATTATTGTTCTGTTTTCTTTCCCTAGCTTTTTAGGTATATAGCTTCTCTCTCCTACCATCTTTTATTCTCCTTACCCTTTCCCCCAGCACAAGGTAGCCAGCCAGTCTGAAAACTGGCTAACCTTGTGGTTACTCCTTTCCTCCTCCTCCTTCTCATTTGACTCTTTCTTTCAGTGTTATGACTCCTTTTAAAGGGGCTCATTAACTCTCTTATGGGTCACACGGCTCTTAGAAGAAAGAATCTTGACCCTATAGGTAGAGTTGACGTGCCCATTTAAAGAGACTGATATGCGAGGCTAAGCAGAACTCTAAAAAAAATGTGTCAAATCCCTCTTTTTTTAGAGTTCAGGTCTCTACTTACCGGAGACAGAAGCCAGAAAACGTGACTGTTCATATTACCGTACACTGAGGTCTTCAGTGATCGGAATGTGGTACTCCAACACTGCTAGGCGCCGCATTTACTAATCAGATGCCGCTTCTCTGTCGACAAGCGACACTTGTACTGCATCACAAATAACCAATTCAGTAAAGGAACTTGGACACGTTCGCGGATATTCATAAAGAGCAAGCTACGTCGCTGATCAGAAAGGTGAATAGGGGGGCGGGGGGAGTGACCTTACGTGGCCTGGTCCTGTTTCGCTATGTCCCCGTCCGAAGCTTTCAATTGCGCAAAACATTCCCCATTTCTGCTCCTCAATACGACATGCCGTGCTAAGTTGGGACAATGGTTCGAAGTGTGCACTCACGAGCCTGAAAGAAATTTTGTGAATAGTATACACTGGCGTTCATGATTACGGATATCATAATCATCACCCAGAAAATTGACTAGCATGTAAGGTGAAAAGTCAGATTAATTACATCCCCGGCTCTAAAATATTTATCTCTCTCTCTCTCGCCCTACAATCGATATCGAGCTAACATCAATTGAGCAGACGAATTTTCGCTAAGCTATCACAATTTTATGCCCAAAAATATTCAAAATTAGTTTAATCAATTTTCTGTACAGAAGAGAGTTCCTTCGCATCGTTTTCAGGATACACGATCGTTTCAAAAAAGCTTGGAGCACTAGCTAAAATTAAGTTTCACACCAGCATACCGATGTGAAACTTAATATAAGTTACAGGCAACTTATATGCAGACAACATGCCAGGGTGTCAAGCTCTTGTACACAAAGTTTTTATAAAAGGTATGCAATTAGCCTGTTCCTTCATAGAATGAAGAAACTCTGTTATTCTAAATGTTTATTTGCAGTGCCGCATCAGTGTTCAGTGATTGAATTATTTTTCGTTTCTTTATGTATACATATATATCAGATGCGTGTTCCTTACACGAAGCGAGACTGCTTTGCCCACATGGATGCCGGCAACCCAGTAGAGGACGGAAATCCTACGAGTGCAACTGCAAAGAGGGGAGCATTTTATCCGATGATGGAATCACGTGCGAAGGTACGTATCACACTCCACTTAATCCGTCGTTGTGTAGCCACGGACGCACACATAAAAATGGGCATGGTTATGCGTTGGTTAACCCACACGTGTTTTCTATTACAAAGGAACTGATTGTTTGGTTATCTATGAATGTTATTTTCCACAATTCAAATGAATTTTCGATTTGGCAGTTGAAGCGAAATGAGAACTGAACGATGAAAGTAGCACAAAATAAACCGCAATTCTTAGCGAAAAAACGCGTGTAAACCATAACTTGTTCAATGCCTTTATAACTATATTGTTCAAAACTAATTACAACATACCTAAAGTATAAAAGAGCGTGGTTGAATATACTCTAGCATGATAGATATGCCTAGACCGATTCAGTGGTGCTTCGTGGCATTAAGAAGTCCTCGTTTGAGGCTAGATAAGACTAAGCAGTTCATATTTTTTAATGTTCTAATGGGAATTCATTATCTCTTTACATTTTATTCATTTATATCTTGATACTACAACCCCTGCTAGGTATTTGGGTATGGCGGTAAGATAGACAATTCACGAGCTTTTTAAATGAACTTTCTGGAACATTTAGTTGGCGCACCAGGGTTAGAAATGTGGGGTAAACCTTCGTTCCTTAACACGAGATTTTTGTGCAAAGGTCTACAGAAAGGCAGTTCATCTCACTGAGCACAACACAGAACACAGGCAAATTATTGTGTTACTGAGCTACCTATCGCAATGAATCGCAAATAATTTGCTCTTTTGAACACTACCTGGTTGCTTATTTTCATGTAGCTGTATTTGACATTTTTTATTGACACTGCGTGGGCCCAGCGCAATTATCTGGACATCGAAGTGTGTCGCAGCTAAGGACAGACTGTTTTAAACAAAAAAACACCGACACAGGATGCCAAGACGGGACGGGTACTATGTGGCGTTTTATTACCGGTAGTTTCGCGCAAACTAGTAAACGTTGTTGTCATACCTTTGTTAACTAGGGACAATTGCCTAAGCAATTAACTACCTTCACATTTGCAGAATCTTGGGCATCCAGTTCTACATCGCTTTTGAAAACGTTATACTAAAGAATTTCGGGCCTGCTACATCGAAATTCGTCCGTATTTGAGACGTATATGGTGCTGTCGCACTTTTTCGTTCATTTATTTTATGCTTCTTTGTAGTTGATGGCAATACGCTTTTTTTTTTTCAGAGATTTCTCAAGTTCGCTCTTGCAATGAAACGGAAAAGCAGCAGTGCCGCTCAGACCAATCGTGTTCGGTGAAAGGCACAAAGGTTGCTTGCAAATGCGCAGAAAACGAGCATCTCGTAGACGACGTCTGCACAAGTAAGGGTACATTTCACTGCACCATTCGACTGAAACATTGAAGTCGAATGGTAATGCAATATAAATTGACATTTGTGAAGCAATATACTGGCTCCCATTTAGACTCCGACAGAGAATCGAGAAGTTTTAACTATCTCAAAAATAAAAATTATAGTTGCGTCAGCGCTGCTGCGGGTGCAACCTTCAAAGCCATTGTAAAAGAATTTGGGTTACGTCGACAAGCTTTAGGAAGGGAAATGTGGGGTAGTAAAGAAAAGGAAGTTAAAAGTTAGGAGGCCAGAAAAATGAGGAGGAAGAGCAGAAATGGAAGGCAGGAAGGTCAGTCAGACGCGCGTGCGGTTTGCTTCCCAGCATTGAGGAGAGAAAACATGAAATGATTGAAGAACAGGTAGAAAATAGAGGTACGAGAGCACCGTCAGGGTACATGTACGCATGTCTATTGCATGCTTACAAGCAGTCACTTAAGCCGGTCAATTTTAAAGAGCCTATCAATGCCCCTGTTGTTTCGCTGGCTTGCGAGGCGTCGTGCCATGAGCCGAGAATTTTCCCTTCAGAAAGAGTCTCTTGTCTAGCACGTTCACGGTATGTAGCATGTAGCGTTCGCACACAAAACGATCATAGGAACACAATAGATGATTTATGTTTTCATCGCTTTCGCACTAATATAATCTGAAGGTATCTGCCATTCATTTGCGAAAAGAGTACGACTTCGTGAAAGGTATCATAACCACAGGCGGCACAATAATGTTTCGTCCCGGCGGGTGGGAGAGGTCCGGTAAGGGAGGGTAGATCAGAATAAAAAATCACACCATGCACATGCACGGAGTGAATGATGATGAGTGAGGCGAAGCGTCCGTCAGCCCGTCCGTGCTTCCATTTATCCTTTCATTCTTGCTTCCGTCCGTCCGTGTGACCATCCGTGCGTCCATTTATGCAACCATCCATCCGTCCATCCGTACGTACGTCCACGCGTCCGTCCATCTGTCCGTCCGTCTTCTAGTCTGCCTGTCCGTCCGTCCATGCGTCCATCTAGTGAACACTCCAAGCACCGCCATCTCGCATCCCCTGTGGCTCATACCCGCTCCGCGCGTCCATCCATCCATCCATCCATCCGTCCATCTGCTAGTCTGTCTGTCCGTCCATCTAGTGAATACTCCAAGTACCACCATCGCCCGTCTCGCATCCCGGTGGCTACGTACGACAACGACGGAGAATGAACAGACCCACGCCCTAAGGAGCTTCGCCCCTAAAGTTTGCGGAAACAACGGAGCTAGAACAAGCACAGGACCAGCTTAAATGGCAAAACATGGGAGGGCTCTTTGCCTTGCAGTGGTGCCGCATGTCAGCCTGATGTTGATGATTACAAAAAACTCGCAACCTTCAGCTCTTGTATGCATTGAGGAATAAAATCACTAGTTGTTGTATGCAAGAGCGTAAAAAAGACAAAGTATTCACAGGACCTAAAGTATAGGGCAACATGATCAACCGTAATAAAAAAATCTGTTACACGTATTTGGGGTGTGCTCCAGGTGAGGCTTCGACAAGAGAACTTGCCTTCTTCAAAGCTAGAACCGATTTCTTTAGCACTATAGTGTGTACGCGCTTCATACTTTCAACTCCAATCCAAAGAGAGAATGTGAAGGCAACCGCAGAGGTGGAGGTTCGCAGTTACTTTCTTCTCCTCTGCCCGCCTTACTATCAACAGTAGAAGTACGCTGTGGGTACGAGACATGTCAGGTTGCATTAGACGCACGTGTACCAGCGTATGCTATCATGTGTCTAAACGGTAATATTTTCATGTGACAAGGAGTACCCGTCACAAAATTAATACACAAGAGGTCCATTGTATTGCCTCAGTAAAACAATAAAGCCAATATGTGAGGTATTACCTTTCTCACTTTTCTCGCCACGAGTATTTCACTTAAGCAGTTGAACGAAAATCGCATGCTGATAGCGTTGATATAATATGCAAATATTGTTGTGCCCTCACTCAGGTAAGTGCGTGGCTTCCGAATGTCACGAGAGGTTCATGGATTGCTCAGTGGCCCACGGTAAACAGGACTGCTCGTGCCCATGGAAACACCGGATGACTGACATATACGGCTCGACATGCACATTGCGTGAGTACACTAATCCAACAGCTTCTCAAAGCTTCAGGAACGAGTTTGTCTGAGCGTGCGTGTCTATCTGTTTTGATCAACGGGCATGCCTTCCTTGCCAGCCAACCACGTTTAGAAAAAAATACATGGTGTTTCAGCATAATATTGTATATAAGAAGACCCAAACTGCTGTAAAGTGGTTGTGTTTATGTGTAGGGCTAATTTAAGAGCATAACAAGTACACTGCGCTAATTATAATAAAGTCAATAAAGTACGATATTATTATCTTTGCAAGTCTCGACTGCGCTTAGTGTTTCATGGCTTAAAGCTGATTAGAGCACTGCAAATTCAGTAGCTCCTAACAATTTCATAAGAGACGTCTCCAAATTATGCTATGATTATTATGAAGGTCTGATGTAATGTGAACTTCCGTTTATTATAAAACGCCTTGAGTTCTTCGGCATTCTACCATAATTTATCAACGTTGTTGCGGATGGGAAGGAAGGTCGCTGATGGCATCCCACCGCTGCCAACCAGTTGTTGCGCGTCGCGGCGACCGCAGTCTGCGGGTAGCGGGGCCGATCGCCGTCGCTCCGTCGAGCCAAGGACCAGGGGAGAGCTTTGAGCAAACTTAACGGATTTATTTACATCTTTACAGTGAGTTGTTGAGATGACAGAAGAGAAGAGAAGAACGTTGGGCGAGGCACTCCACGCCCTTTTTGTTGACCCCCGTTCCCTAGGTCCCTAGGTTGGGGATCACTATATAAAACAATGCGGACCAATGGTGATGTGGCAGTTCCTCTCAATGAAGTACGGCCCATTATGTCTGTTCATAGAGGCACAACACAGGCTTGCACATACACACACACCCTTGCCACTAGTCGCAGCGCTGCCGTAGAACAGGGAGGGGGAGAGCGGAAGACGCACGGGCGCCTCGATCCCTTTGATGCCGGCCGCGGGCTGCGTTCCCACGAGGAGATCTTAGCGCGGCCTTTTGAGAAGTGCCAGGTTCGTGGAATTCTCTGGGGAGAGCCCTTTGACCAGCGCTGTCGTCGTCTGCCGGTTAACGCGCTAACGATGCGTGGCTGGCCCAGGCGGGAGATAGAGCGGCGGCTCCAAAACCCTCTTTGGCGACATTCCACCCAGTTGGCGCCACTGTCAATCAATGGGCGCCGTCTCGTCCTCTGTTGCTTCCTCCGTCCAGCTGTAGGGATCCAGCTATGCCTTGACCCAGCGGGTCATTCGCCACGCCGGATTAGTGCAAAAAGGACAGTCTCCCCACGGCTGGCTCGTCCTCCGGCAAGCAGGGACAATGCCTGGCGGGCATAGGCAGTCGGCCGGTCGGCTACTTGACGGAGGATTAAAGAAGCGCTGCTCCGCCGTCAGCTCTGTCGCCGGTCACGCCAGCTTTTCCGTTGCCCGATGAGTCGCCGACTCCATTAGTCACGCTGCTGCTTGAAGGGACGACAAAAGAGTCCGCACTTGAAGGACGGGAACTCGCCTCTGCTTGCTGCTTGGTCTGGACAATTGCTCAAATATTCAACAGCGTCTGTCAGACTGTCCTTTTGGGCCTAATCTGGCGTGGCGAATGACCCGCTGGGTCAAGGCATAGCTGGATCGCTACAGCTCCTCCGCCGACGGGAAGATCTCGGACGTCGGGTAGTATCAGCTGCTCGACGGGAGAGATCACAGTAACTGCAGTCTCCCAACACCATTGATACCACAAAGACCAACCGCTAGAACCAGCAAGCGCCGGCAATGAGTTTTCGGCAACCAAGCCGGTCTTTCAAATGTGCCACAACGCACCTACGCTTTTTTTTTCTTAAATGGCAACCGCACTAATACTCTTGCTCATAGCTAAAAATTTCGATTACTCCAAATACTCCTTAAAACATTACGGAAACACGTACCTCAACGTTCCGTATAACATGACGCTCAGCTAAAGAATTCAACTGATCCCTGAGCACATACTAAAATAACAAGGGGTAATGCAATTTCGTATACTAACACGTTTATTTGCTGAGTGTAGTTTCATGTCAGCTCATGTTTTTAAAGAACGCACAAGACTTTGCTGTGCGCTCTAGCATGACATCTTACTCTCATCCAAAGAGCGCTAGCATACCCACACGCACCTAACCATAGGCGATATCTCTCTCACCTAGGTATCCTTGAACCCTCATCTGAACGTGAATTTTCTCAAGGAACAAACGCAAGGAACAATAACGCTTGATGTACACGTCAGGAGTGCGTAACAAAACAGGCGTTAATTTTGCGCTAAAACTTCTGTACCGAATGTTTATCCCCATGAGCATTCCGAAAATTGCTTTTGTTTGGTTTTATTCTAAAACCTTCCCAAACATTGCTCATTTACTCTTTTAAGACGGTCGACAATCTCGCGATACACAAAAACTGGCACAAAGCCTAGAAACTCCTGCTCCACTCGACCAACGTTACCACGCTTTCCAATTTAGCGGGCGAACCACACTTCATTTACGATTTTTGTTTTCTCAAAGAAAAACTAATTTCGAAGCAGTCGGTTGACCGACGCGGGTCACTGCTTCCGCATAACGCTTAACAATCCAACTCGAAATTTTGACAAAGCCTATACGCAAACAAAATCTAGAGGAACGAAAAAAGTATCCAAGCAAACTAGCTGTGAAGATGACACGGGTACACCACTTTAAAACCAAATATAACCAAACAAGTATGTTTCCAAAAAAAAACTCCTGTGTCCGACTCTCCCGTTTACAGCCGTCGCTCCCCCTTCAGCCGTACACGCCGCGGTCGTGGTCTTCGATTCTGAAAACGCGCGAGACAACAATGTGCACGAGCAACAAGCTGAACTGCAGCGTTACGCCTCATTTGCGATTTTAGCGGGCTTCTGTCGGTTCGGCGTAGGGGACCCGAGCGATGCGTGGGACAGAGTGGCCATGCCTTTTTTGGGCTAGCTCGCGTGTGGTGTTGAGCTATTGTGGCCTTTCTTCTAGGACCACGTTGACACTCTTGTCCACGAAAAGCTCTAAACCTCCTGCGTACATTCCGTCGCGAAAATGCGCGCTGGGGCCTACCCTTTTGCCGCTGGCGCCTTACTTCCCGCCACAAAGGCCTCTTCGCTGAACTGGCCGATGAGCTACCCTTTTTTCTTTCTCCCCGATGCTTGCTTCCTCCTTCTTGCCTTCGCTTTGTCGCGCGCGTGCCTTTCACTCCTCTACGGCGACGTCTACGACCGACTTTTTCTGCACCGTTAGGAAATTGGCCTCGGGTTGCGTCATCGGTAGTTTTACAGCTCAAGGGTGCTTCTGCACCACCTGCCACAGTGTTTCGGCACTTTGATTTCTTGGCTCTGTCGCCTTGTCTGGCCGATTCACCTGTGCTAACGCTGTACTCAGGGGCGCCCTGAAACGTTCTATGGATAGAACGGAAAGACCGGCGCTCTCCACGCAATTCCATTCGCGAACCCGCTTTCCTCTTACTTTTCGTCCGGTTGCTCGGACGCATGCAATGTAATTTTGACGCTGCTGCAAAGCTCTTATTTGCTACGCTGACAGGTTTTGCGCCTTCTTTTACACGCGTAGTACTGATCGTCCTTCTCGCGGATTCGCGACGTCTCTTTCGTCTGCGCCGCTTTTTGCGTGTCGTTTCCGAGCCTCCCGATCGCATCTCACACCCGTGAACCCTCTCACAGCTTTCGTAAGCTGTCTCAGTCGCGCGGTCTAAATGATTTTCGACCTGGTCATCTTTATTCTCACCCTCTAGACCGGCGGACTGGTTAACACACTTAGGAACAATGCAGCTGCTTGCCTTCGAAAAATCTTTCTCGCATTCCTGAGAGCTGTCTGCAACTGCACTGAAACTATTCTCTACGCTCACTGCTTCTGAGCCTTCTCCGGTGTTCTTGCCTACTTCGACCTCATTTGCAAGATCTACCGCCGCGACAAACACAGTTGAGGTCTGTGCCAGATTTTCTACAGCTATTCTAGCTGTTTCGCTAGCAGTTAACTGGCAAAGCACCTCGTCGCACTCGCTCTGGCCTTCGTCGGCCTCTCTACTCAGCGCAGCCTCATTCGCAGCACTCAAACTCGATTCGCCTTTGAATCCGCTGCTATGTTCACACGTGCTAGCCTTCTCTAAAGCTCTGGGCTGCACCTCGCACTTCTCGTGCGCTACACTTGCGGATGGCTGAATCTTCCACCGCGTTGCCTCGACTTTTTGTTCCGACAGTTCAATCTCTAGGCTGAGTGCTCGCTCGAACTCTTCACCTCGCTCCCGTTTTTCTATCTCCCATTTGCGCTCACTATTCACCTTGGTGCTATGAGAGACACGCGGACCTCTCTCAGGCTTGGTTTTAATACCAGCACACCACCGCGCGTTCTTCAACGGAGCGTTCATGAGCTTGCACTCAATTTGCTTTCTGTCAACTCTGATGCCGAAGCACCGCAGTAAGGCTGCCTTAGCTACATTGTAACTGTTGAACTCGTCCTCCGAAAGGTACCCTATTCTACCAATTAAGTCGCATGGAAAGACACTCAATAAGGCGATAGACCAATAGTCTTCGTCGAGCCCTAGGTCTGTGCAAACATTCTCGTAAGAGGTTAGGTAACTCTCTATATCCTCGCCCTCTTCGAATGCATGGATCCTCGAATTTACTTGAGACCATCTAAGGCACTGTATTGATCTTCTTGTCTCTTCCAGTTTTACTTTTAGGCTTTCCTTCCACTGATTTCTCTCTTTTTCTCGCCTTTCCCGACGCTCCTGTTCCTCACGCCTTTCCTGGCGCTCCTGTTCCTCACGCCTTTCCTGACGCTCCTGTTCCTGTTGCTTTTGAATCTCGTTCCACGTTTCTTTAATATCTTCACTGGTCAGATTCAAGCCCTCGATAGCGCCAACAATTGCGTGTTTCTTCATCCCCGCATCTACTTCTGCTACCAGCTCCTCCCCCAGAATCAGGAGCTGATTTTTCAACAAACGCTTCCAATCCATGACAGAGAACTATAGTGTGGTGCAGCTCACTCTCTACCCAGAAGTTCCGTAAACAACTGCTTCTGTGGTAGCCTCTACCAGCGAAAAGATTACACTTCTATCTTATCAGCCTGGCAACCAAAAAACCAAAGCCAGCACTCACCAGTCCACAGCTGCCAGTCTCCATGATCTCGGCGTGTTGTTCATTCTCCGTCCTCCAGGCTCACATCCAACCGCTTGCCATCCAGTTGTTGCGGATGGGAAGGAAGGTCGCTGATGGCATCCCACCGCTGCCACCAGTTGTTAGGGATGGGAAGGAAGGTAGCTGATGACATCCCACCGCTGCCAACCAGTTGTTGCGGGTTGCGGCGACCGCAGTCTGTGGGTAGCGGGGCCGATCGCCGTCGCTCCGTCGAGCCAAGGACTAGGAGAGAGCTTTGAGCAATCTTAACGGATTTATTTACATCTTTACAGTGAGTTGTCGAGATGACAGAAGAGAAGAGATAGTGGTTTCACAAAACGACGAGCGTGGTGGTTGAACTTTACATAGCTCAGAGCGACGTCCAGTACTCTGCCGCGTCGTTTTATGCCCTGTCGGGCTCCTCCTCTGCGAGTCGACCACCAATCACGCACACACAGGTGAGGGGGGGCGAGCATGCAAGGTCCACGTGAACACTGCACTGTGGTGGCGCCAGCAGGGCTCTTCCTCGTCGTGTGTGTGCCTTTAGTCGAGAGTGCCCACGATCCTGGCCGCATACTTCAAAGGGTCCGCCGATTTTGTTCGCTCAATTAGCGGGGCGATCCGCGGCAGCCGCCGCGGTCTCCCCCAGGAAGACGCCGTCCCTGTTGTCCTCTCTGTGGCGTCGTGGCGTCTTGGCGACACTACGTCTCGTCCTCCGGCAAGCAGGGACAATGCCTGGCGGGCATAGGCAGTCGGCCGGTCGGCTACTTGACGGAGGATTAAAGAAGCGCTGCTCCGCCGTCAGCTCTGTCGCCGGTCACGCCAGCTTTTCCGTTGCCCGATGAGTCGCCGACTCCATTAGTCACGCTGCTGCTTGAAGGGACGACAAAAGAGTCCGCACTTGAAGGACGGGAACTTGCCTCTGCTTGCTGCTTGGTCTGGACAATTGCTCAAATATTCAACAGCGTCTGTCAGACTGTCCTTTTGGGCCTAATCTGGCGTGGCGAATGACCCGCTGGGTCAAGGCATAGCTGAATCGCTACAACGTTAAGCTTTGTCCCAATCGGAACGTGGGCGGAGCAACCAGGACCGAATCATGACCAACTGCGAATGGATGAAGTTCTAGTAAGGTAGAAACTTACATTCAGAAATTATTGCTCTTGTCTGTTATTGCTATTATCTGTTAGGTCAAAAGCCTTAGACGAAAATGAAGACATTTTAGTAAATATGAGGTTAGATCATCCTAGTACACCATACACTTTAAGCATAAATAAGTGCAAAGACAGTTGTGGGACCGATGTGCTTTCCTTTGCCTGCGTCTTTTCCTCTGCTTCACTACTTCTTCTGAAAATGTAATGATTTCATGCGCGGGCGTGTCGTAAAGGCTTGAAGTAAAAATGTACAGCCTAAAAGTGTTTTATGTCTTGTTTTGCTTTGCAGGTCAGTATTACTACACTGTCTCCTTCAAGCTTAACACCTCCCTTGAATCTCAAAACTGTAGTGTCTACGCTCCTCGCGTAAAAGCTGCGGTTGGTACCAAGTTTGTTCTCTCTTCTTTTAGTCTTTGATATGTGGCGTCATTGAAGATTCAGTGCAAGATACTTTATCCTTATTCAAAAATCCATCTTTTATCTTCCCCTGCTAGGCTATTGATATTATTATTCTTATAAAGTATCCTCGTTCTACGAATATCCGATAATGGTATTGCAGCATTTTTTAAATACGGAGCATTTCTCATCTAACTTCGGCGACTTTGAGCGTATCTATCTATCTATCTATCTATCTATCTATCTATCTATCTATCTATCTATCTATCTATCTATCTATCTATCTATCTATCTATCTATCTATCTATCTATCTGTCTGTCTATCTATCTATCTACCTACGACTTTTAGCTCTCCTGGCCGTTTTGATAATGGTATCGATACCAAACTTGTTATGGTATAACATGACTGTATAAAGAACATATTTGACTAGTCTTAACATGGAACTCATGACATGTATGTCATGGACGTGATGATTTACATGTCATGGTCCTGCAGCTCTTGCGGTGGTTTCGTTCACATGGCATGTTGCAAAACTGGTATGGTATGGCATGATTGCATGGCGAACACAAGCGACAGACCCTGACATGAAAATCATGAGATGCGTGTCATGTAACAACATGACTACATGCCACACTCATGATGCGCTGGGGGCCGTTTCACTAGCTTCACATATGCCAAATTTGGTATTACGTGACGTCAATGAATGACGAAGGTGTGTGACTGGTTCAAACATGATAATCGTGAAATGCGTGTCATGTGAGAACATGACTACATGCCACAGTCAAGCTGCCAATACATTTTGGCATGACGTGGTGTGCGTGCTCACCGGGGTTCATTTCGTCGCGTCACGCGAGCGTTGCCACGCCAGGCGCTGGTCCTGCCATGTACTCGCAGGCGCGCGCCGCGCTGCATTGCTTTGACGCATGCGCGTTTCAGCATGTACGGCATCCCTCCGTCCCGAAAAAAAAAAATAAAGACGCAGTGTTGTCTGGGTAACGCATCGGCGGCAAATGCAGCATGTCGCATTTCGCGCTGGTTGCCGTCGGGCCGCGCCGGCGGACGCAGGTCGCGCCTGGCGTCACACTACCGAGTGCTCGCGTTTTGCTAACATTGCATCGCCGTGCCCAGCGTGCGCACGCGTCAACGCTACATTAGGGTATATTGGGCCCTTCATGATGCGCTGAAGGCTATTTCGTTAGCACCAAATATACCAAATTTGGTGTCACGTGACGTTGTTGGGTGACGAAATATATGACTGGTGCAAACATGATAATCCTGACACGCGTGTCATGGAAGAACATGACAACATACCACACTCATAGCATGCTCACGGCCGTTTCGCTAGCTCTACATATAATAAATTTGGTATGACGTGACATGAATAGATGACGAAAGTAAACGACACATCCAAACATGATAATCATAGTACAGAAGTCAATGCGGCATCATTTACCTCCACCTCTTGACGTTGTGCTGATTTAAAAGTGACAAATCAACATTTCTCATTCGTGCTTCGCATATCATTGACTCCCACTGTACGTGGGGTCTGCCAACCTTTTTAATAAAGTGAACTTTATTCTTTGTCTATCGAGTCTGCAGCCTTGTTCAGACGACGTGCGCTACGTACGAATCATTGGTAAGGGTCATGAGCGTAAACGCAAGGAATGTAATGAGCTTGTTCAGACGTTCCTGCGCTTAGCGTAAAGTGCATAAGATTTTGGACGTAAATGTTAGCGGGCTCACACCTTTTACAACAAGGAAGGTATGGTCACAAATAAAGCTTGTTATAACAAAAACAAAAGCGCAGATAATGAGAACGCCACTCTTTATAATATAGATGAAAGAATTATAAGATGATTGGTTTTCATAGCAGGATCCGTGAACTCCAAAGGGACCCCGAGATAATTGTCGGGGATCCGCAAAACCCATGTTAAAAAATAAACAAGTCACAAGTCACAGTTTCGCCGCAAGGGCGAATCAATAAATGTCTTTGAAACAACTTGGACTGTAACGCTGAGAACGGCAAGCGGATTGAAACGTGCAGCGCGCTGCTCACACACAAATGGCGCACGAAAACAACATACACAGGACGATAGCGAATTAACAACGTTTACAGCTCGACACTTGACGCGCCGTTTAAACAAAAACGACGCACAAAACGTAATCACAAGCACATATGCATGCAAACTAGAAAGTGTCCCAGTTTTTATGCTTTGCTGTGTATGAAAAGCGCGTTCTTTTAGAAAACGGGGCCTGTGCAGCGAGCGAAGTGACCTTTGTGTGCCCGGCAACTAGTGCGATCGTTGCGGTGAGGTGAAAGCCGAAGGCACACGATTCTCCCCACGCGAAGGATAAGCGCGCGTCGGCGCATCGTGACGAGCTGAGCGGCGAACATGGTGTTCGACCATCTGGTGTTCTGATGTGGCGTGCACTGACGGGGCGAAATATATAACGCTATACGTGGACGTCTGCCATTTCGCCTCAATCCAAATGTGACCACCGCGACTGAAAGAAAAATGGTAGGCCGCTGAATCACGAAGAGAAAATGAAAGATTATGACACTAAACGAATAAGCACACGCTTGAATGATGGTAACACAAGCAAGGTTAAAATATACATAAAGTGCTGTTATTAAGTGAGCTAGAGTCATTGGTAAGGTCATCAAAGGCACGTTTTATTGATGAGGGCACCTATCATAATTACTTCAGAAGACAAGAAAATTCTGCCAGGCTTGCACCAGGTTGGTAGTTAATAATACCATATTCAGCGGGATTTCCCATATTGCTGCAATGCTGAATGAAAACTCTTTGGCACAAGACATGATAACCAGCTGGTTTGAAAACTTGCTTATCACCCTTTTCTTCCCTTCCTCTTGCTCTTTCTCTCCTTTGTCACAGGATAACTTACTCTTGGGCAAGTTGGTCTTTGCTAACCATATTGCGTTAAAATGCAAAACTGGAATGGAAAGGAAAACAATAGGAGTAGACGAAAAAAATAAAGCCGGTCTTGACCTGGTCAACGAAGTTGTGGTACATACAACGTTTGACATAATGCCTGTTTGGAAACATTGTGCGTAGATGTCGTGCACCATGCATTCAGAGCAGTGTTCTGTGTTAAAAATTTAGGTTGCTTAGAGTTTGTATGCTCAATTCCCATAAAGACTGGCAGAGCGATTTCGGCTCTTTAAACATACGGTGTAACGTATTTTGTTCTTGCTTTTTTGTGCCTTTGTTTCAGATGAGAACGGCTCTCGGTTACCAGGTGCACGCTGTGACGATTGCCAATTGCACGTAAGTGGGCGTGGCTTGCGCGCATACTACTACTTTACGCTGAAATTTCTGAAGGAGGCGTGTGAAAAGAGAGTATCGTATCTTGAGATGCAACTAAAAATATTTATTATAATACAGTAATAATATCACGGATTTCACAAAGCAAACCTTGATATGATTACCACGCACGCCGTATAGTTGAAGGCTCCAGGAACTTTGACCGTCTGTTGTTTGACAGCCTCTGACATCGCACAAAATTAATACATGGGTCATTATTATTTTGCTTCCGTCTAAAGGCGACCACCACGACATAGATCAAATGTGCTACTTTCGGGTCAGCATATTACATACAGAATATCATGCACGCAGGCACGTGCTCGTGTATGATTCCACTTTATGTACGCAAAAAAGCATGCAATGGTGATGGACCTGGAGATTCATAATTGCGCTTTTCAAAAAGCACTCCCTCTTGTTTATACCTTATTTTAATTTGTCTTGGGAACGTGTAGTGCATACAAGTAAGCTTAAAAGTCACAAAGGCAGTGCCTGTTTCTTCTTCCACATAGTTACAGCCATCTTCTTCATTTTGAAGGCTCTTTATCCAGCTAGAGAATGCCTTTTGAAAAAAGTAGTGACAATGCACAATATTTTTCGAGATTGAGATGCTCGTGATTAGCAACTTGACGAGGGATATTTGGTTTCTATTTATAACTGAGCATAGAACACTGTGTCTATAGCTAGGATACAAAAGGAGATGACAACTTGAGTTGTGTGCAAGAACTCGGCATTGTGCGCGAGCAAACAATCACGATGGCTGCAACGAATTCTAATCAGGGGTTCGAGCCGTAATTGAAGCAAAACACACTATGGCAGTCAGGTGTTCTAACATGAAACCATATAAGTGTTTTAAAGTGTAAAAAAAGACCGTGTACAAGTGTCACGTATGTGAGGAGTCGTGTTAACTGCAGAAGTCTCGAATCACACCACGCGTCACATCATTCTCGCTGCTCGAAGGTCGGGGGATTTAAAGACCCACCCATTGCCAGGTCTTCACTCATAATTATCTTCATCAGCATCAATAAATTGTTGAGCTTCGCAAGTGTAAGTTGGCGTGTTGCCTTGCGGACGCGTAGTGAATATTTCGCTACTTTGCGAAATGATGAAGTATGGCGTACTGGCCACGTCTCAATGTTTCTTGCGGTAGGCACACAAGGGGTGTGTAAAACGGTTGCATTTGCGTGCATGGACGTTGCTTTCCTCGCGACAGTGTCGAGGTGTCCACCAATCGGTGAAGCATGCACTAGAGCGAATGATTAGGCAGTTTGAACAGGGCCCGATTAAGCTATTGCTTTCCTCTCTTCAAGTCGGAAGTCACTCCTCGTCCAAGTTTCTTTCGTTTAGAACCGAAGCTCTACCCGGTGTGCGGCGTGACCACCCCTACTGCACATGTGCACCCCTTCCCACCCTTTCTCTCCTAAGCTCACTTCCCCTCTCTCTCCTCTAAGTATCCCTCCCAGCTACATCAAGCACATCAACACCACCGTTGTGCATGCGTGTACCCTCTCCTCTCCAACGCTCCCTCTCTCTCACCTTGCAACGCCGACGCAGGCAGCATCTGCTGGCGTTCGTGCGCTCCCCTCTTTATCCTCTAGGCATGTCTTTCCTCGGTGTTTGCGCCCCCATCGCGCATGCACAACTTCTCCCCTTCCCTCTCGACTCGGAACGCCGGCGCAGGCGACGTCTGCTAGCGAGTTTCTTGATTGGAAAAACTGACATCTCGCCCAGCACAACCATTCACTGGCCACTCCATATACATAAGCACTAGATCTTGACCTCCAATGTAGTGCCGGTGGAAGATTTATCCTGTGTGTTGTTGAGCAATGAAAATTCCCAGCGTGCGCGTTATATAAAAGTGGACTGCGGGTCTCTGTGTCCAGTCGGAGTTCTCGGTCTCTCGTTGCCCATTAACAATGATTGGCATGTTCCAGTGGGAAACACCGGTGTACTGCGTGCTTGGCGCCTCCCCAGGTTTCTCTCCTGCGCAACGCTGTGATGAGAGCCAGAGTCAACGCCGCCGCCGCTGTAAGCGTTAGCGCCCGCTGCTTCGAATCTACGAAAGGTTCTCTTTAGAGGGAGATGGTGTAATTTTTGTCACTTCTACGCAATGTGAGTTTTCAACACATCAAGTGCTCCGATGTCAAATTGAGCTTCACTTTCGGGTGACTCGTGCGTTTGTACTGATTAACCAGGTAGCGACCAGGTCTTTCTCAGCCATGATGTGGCGTCACAGAAGAAACTTTCTGCGCCCAGCCTATAGTTTATCTGGCCCTCACCGTGTGACCCTAATGTTTATTTTGATTATGCACGTAGTAAACGTTCAGTTGGGAATCATTACTCCTGTCGCATATTTCTTCGTCCCTGTACTTGTACAGTGCTGCACATTCCACCAAATATGTTAATTTCCTGCTCTGCAGAGACAACATCACGGCACGACTTATTTTGAACGACCCACTGCCCAAGCCGTTGCAGAAGAGGCTTCAAGCTTGCGAACACCCGATTGGAGACGTTTGCATGCTGTATCCGATGCTTCCCATTGTAAGAGGTTCAGCAACAGGTAAGTGTAACCAAGTTTTTTACTGGATGCTGACAGCAGCAAAAAAAGACATACCATACTTTTGTATAAACCCCAAATACCAATGTATAAATGCTGCATATAATGCTCAATCATGACTAACTACAGTTATCAATTGCCTAGCTTGAGGGCGAAGAAAAAGTAGTGTCGTTAACTTGATCGCCATTTCTGTTGTGTGTCCGTCTACTTCATTAACGCGAATATTGCTTGCCGACATCTCCTTTTAGCAGCACTACTAGTAACATGTTGATTTTGTTACAAAGCCAGACGAATGATTTTTATAACGTGAAATTCGTCGCATTATTCAAGTACCGACCACTTAACTATAAAGTTACATTTCAGTTGAAAATATGTTGGTAGGTTGTTTACTTGGGACTCTTAATAGTTAAGCATTTTTATATATTTATTACATGAACCTCCACGATATCATAGTGCCTAAGGGACTCGGCTACTGACACGCAGCAGGCCATGGTGGCTGCATTTTCGACGAAGGAGAAAATGCTTGAGGCGCGTGTGCACTTTGAAGAACCCAAAGTGGTCAAAATTTCCGGAGCCCTTAACTACGGCGTTTGTCATAATCATATGGTGCTTTTGCACCATTAACACCCAGCATATATTATTATATTTATTACATACAAAAGCCAGCAATGCCGGTGAACAAGCCATGTTCTTTCATTAGAAAGAGGGTTTCGAGTTTGCGTAATTGAGATAAAATAGTAGCGATAAATATACACATGTGGTCTAAAAATGCGTCCTTTGAGAGTATGTCTTGCCATCGGTTGGCTGCATTCGCTAATGATATGTGTAACATCGCGATAGGCTCTCAGATGGTTTTACAAAATGTTTTACAGAAATATTTTTAGGCATAGCCTCCCTTCAGGCTTTATTGCTACGTTGTTTGAGGAGGTATCGGCATTTTCATTTATTTATTATTTATTTATTTATTTATTCATTCATTTATTTATTTCATCTGAGTGCTGGAACTGTCTCAGGTGCCTTGGGTGAGCGTTCAAAGATTGAACAGTTGGCGATGAATATAGACAGATATGGCAGACGAGTTTTGCTGATTGACAAAGATGAAAATGCGTGTAATTTGTTGTAAATTCTCAATGCGGGAATTTCTTGTGTTCTTTTTCTTTTCGGCTGCGGACGAAAATTATTGAAGAGATTGAAGAAGAAAACCTTTGCGATAGTTTGCTGAAAGAACAAGAAGGCGCCTACAACGGCGTCAATGAGTGCGTCAAGGCTGGCGATATCTTTTGGTTCAAGTGCAAGCAGGGATATCGAGAGGTGGATGTAAAGACACAGGGTCGCCTCCAACGCTCCATTTGCGAAGGTAAGTGGCGTCACCTTGTGAGGAATCGCGGAAGCGAAACAGCACATATCGTCATAGGCGTTTCACGTCAAGACAGGACTGGTGCATAGAAAATTCACTGAGTGAGAAACGGAGCGACTGGACGAGAAAGAACCTGCGAGATTTTAGAATACAGCGAGTTTTACCGCGGTGTACGTGTGCTTCTGGTAACCTTTTGTCTCGTCTCGACGCGCTATTTCTCGCTTAGTATGTTCCAGCTGGCCCGGCCACAGTCTGCGTAGAAAATGAAGTTACAGCTTACGGGATACTTTTTTCGTTTATCAAGGACGAAATACGATCCTGCTTCTTACTAGAACACGAGGACGAGAATAAAGCATGTTCTGCACTTACCAAAGCAAATCATCAACGTAGGTAATTCAATGCCGTAATCAACAAAGTAGATTTCCTGCTGCGTAGATTCTTTACATCCTCGATTCTCGCAGTGAATCATGAAGGTTGTTTTGTTTTACCTTTCATCTTCAATTTTCTCAAGAACGTTAGTCTAAACGCTTTTCCCAAGCGACTTGTTTCTTATTTCATAGCATTTATTAACTTTAAACGCCATTTATTCTATAAATTTACGAACTTTTTTTTGTGCATAGAGTTTATGATTGCGTAGATCTAGGCAGTTCACTCTCTTTGGAGTTTGGAGATTTCTGCGCAACAGTAACAGCGCTGATGCCAAAGCTAAACAAAACCACATTTCAAGTGAGAAGCAGGGAATGTCGTCAATGCTTGAAGCTGCCTTCTCCCATTAGTTATGCAATAAATCCAGACTTACATTCTCCCCCCTCCCTCACATACACCGCACACATACACGCTTTGCTCAAAATCGGGAGACCTTTGAACAAAACTATTCTTTTTATTGAAAAAAAAGGAAGATTTCAGGCACGGCTTCAAGCTAAGTTTTTATCGATGTGAGGTGTATTATAAAGCTGTGATTGGTATGCTTCTTGCTCTTCTTTCAGTTGACCCAGAGGCACCAACACCAGCGCCGGGTAAGCAACACTTGTGCTTTGGTGGTAAATGAAACTAAATGCTTCTCGAGTGTTACCCAAAATCAGTCGAGTAAAGGTGGACACCACACGGCTCTTGCATTCGGGCGCTGGGAGAATATTTAGGTGTCCCTCACGCTTTCGCAGATGAATCATACAGAGAACGGAGCCGGCAACCGGCACTCTGTGAGCCTGATAAACATAAATGCACGTATAGAACGCATGCGTAACGAAGCTTACCATAGTGCAATGCGGTAATAGAAATGAACGTTTTTTTTTCTTTTTGTATAAACATGAGGCTCGCAATTTCACACATTCTAAATTTTCAGTTATCTGTGGTAATTCTTTGGCCAATTCTTTTTTCTTTTCTGTAATTAGAGAGCTAATATATTGATATTCCTAACTTGTAAAGTCACAATTCTGAAGATAATAGTCCTGCACACTTCTGTTGCCCAAATATAAAGATCTTGACAAAAAAAAAATCCATGGAAATATGCACATGTACAGATTTCATTTATATAAAGCGCGTAAAAGAGACAAGGTGGTATATACGCGACATATCCACGATGCCGCATTGGCGGCTGGGTGACGCTACTGTTCGAAGAAATGTTGCTTCATCAATATTATTCGAACACGTCCCTATGCAATCCCTATGTCTGGGGCGGATATTCGACATTTTATATCGCAAGGAGCTAACCATTGTTCGATGGAGAAGTGGTTTGAGAGCCCTAAATCAAAGGAAACGGTACATTATGAAGTTGATCCACACAGAAAATTTTCCATAGCGACAGACCTCCTACGACACCTAGAGACATTGATCCACCGACTTCGATTAGAAGTAGCATACACAAACAGCTTCCTGCACAAGATACATCAATCCAACTCACCGGAACGCCATTGTGGTCATGCAGAAAAAAATGTTCGCCATATTCTTTTGGAGTGCGTTAAATACGCGAATGAAAGAGAAAAATTAAAGAACAAATTAGCAAGTTTGGACAGACGGCCCCTCACAATAAAGAAACTACTTGGACAATGGCCTGAGATGCATCTCCAGAAAAAGGCAATAATTTTCCTGAGAGACTTTTTAGTGGAGACCGGACTGGACAAGCGCCTATGACTGACAGCCAGAGATGGGTATTATATAAAATGTGGTCATGTATATACTGACATTAGATTAGTAAGGTGTGCGTGTAAGTAGTTTATGACTGTGTGAACTGCGCGAAGAAAACTGTGTATTGGCATGATATTTGAACTGGTTTCAGTGAGCTATTATGTTTTTTTTTCGTTTCCGTATTGTTTCATTTCAGCCATCGCATGCCTGAATGCTACCTTAACCTGCAAGGATGTGTGCTTGATGAAGGGTTGGATTTATGGCTACCGTTCTGTATTATTATTTTATTTTTTGCTGCAGAACTTTGTGATATGGAGTAGCTGAGACAATAGGCACCTCAACCTCTCCACAGCAATACAGTTAAAACAGAACAGAACAGAACAGAACAGAACATGTCAACAATCAGCTGACTGTAATGAAATTCCGACAGCTATCACGTGCTCACGATGCTGACTCTGACGTCATCCTGCTAATTCTCTTAGACCCGTGCCTCACCGTCGGCGCCGAAGTGTGCGGAGATGTGCGCTGTGAGCCTTACAGCGACAACTCGGGTTTCACATGCAAGTGTGGCATCGATTTCTTCTTTCATGCGATGGAGAAGCGCTGCTACAGTAAGTACATACTTCTCGTCCTTATCCCATGTGCAGGGATGTCCCTGAATAGACTGTACGGCAACTAAGTGAATATTTTTACCTGTCTGAGTTTAGGTTACAATACAAAAAAAAAACAGCATTTCTTTAAATAATTGCGCTACCATGCAGGATTAATAATTTTTATAGCGCAATGGTGGCAAGTTGTTGAGACCATTGGGTCAGGCAAAGCTACTGGATAATTACGTTTATATTAATTTGTGTTCACCATTTGCCACAGATATGAAATCCTGCAAGGTGCACAAGTGCGAGCGAGGACTGTGTGTGGACCAGAACGGCATGTTCCCTGCGAGCTGCCAATGCAACGACTATCCCGACTTGACGTTAAACTGCAAAGGTAAGCTAGGGCGAAGTAGTCATTCTCCCTAATGTCCACCGTACAGTAAGAACGTCGTTCATCGATCTCCAATAACTGCTGTTTCACTTCTACCAATTTAATTTTATGCCCGTGAATTTAATAATCAGTCCGCACATATCGTTACGCTAAAGAGCCCCAGTGCGTGCGCTGTCATCCTCCTGTGTCGCCTATTTCGTCACCACGACACACAGCCAGTTATCTCTCGTTCCCATGACACGATTCTTGGCCAGCGCTGCTTTGCGTAATTTCGCAGCCAGACTGATAAGATAGATTCAAAAATCGTATTCATTTGCTAACTAAGCAGTATGGTCAACATTACTCACCAGTCCGAAGAATTATTTTTTATAACGTAGACTACACACTTCATAACCTTCCCACAACTGGTTAACTTATAATGTTTATTTATCACTCTACGCGGTCTTTGTTTCGCAGTGAAGGAGACTGTCCGTGCAATATGCGCAACGCAGGACAAAGTTGCGAGGATAAACCCAGACAACAGCGTCAGCTGCGACTGTCCACCACACACTAAGCTCATCAGAGGATACTGCAAACGTAAGTGGTGTGCAGCTAGAGTGTCAGTAGAGACGTTCCAGTGAATACCATGATTGCCTCAATGTCTCGTTAATGTACAATTCAATCACTGCTATAAGTAATAAAACCACACCTGGTGCCTACAAGTAGTATGCGATGAATTATTGGTCAGCTGCCAGCTCGTAATTAACTCACCTGCTACGTGCCGCCAACAGGCAAAAAAAAAGTGTTCTGCACTTACCGTAATAACTACTGGCAGTGCTGGCTGGTGTTCCCACGTTAAAATGCACATATATATATATATATATATATATATATATATATATATATATATATATATATATATATATATATATATATATATATATATATATATATATATCATCAGCCTGACTACGTCACTGCAGGACAAAGGTCTCTCCCATGTTCCGCCAGTTAACCCGGTCTTGTGCTTGCTGCTGCCAATTTATACCCGCAAACTTCTTAATCTCGTCTGCCCACCTAACCTTCTGTCTCCCCCTAACCCGCTTCCCTTCTCTGGGAATCCAGTTAGTTACCCTTAATGACCAGCGGTTATATTGTCTACGCGCTACATGCCCGGCCCATGTCCATTTCCTCTTCTTTATTTCAACTATGATATCCTTAACCCCCGTTTGTCCCCTAATCCACTCTGCTCTCTTCTTGTCTCTCAAGGTTACACCTACCATTTTTCTTTCCATTGCTCGCTGCGTCGTCCTCAATTTAAGCTGAACCCTCTTTGTAAGTCTCCAGGTTTCTGCTCCGTAGCTAAGTACCGGCAAGATACAGCTGTTATATACCTTCCTCTTGAGGGATAGTGGCAATCTACCTGTCATAATTTGAGAGTGCTGCCGAATGTGCTCCACCCCATTCTTATTCTTCTAGTTACTTCAATCTCGTGGTTAGGCTCTGCGGTTATTACCTGCACTAAGTAAACATAGTCTTTTAACACTTCAAGTGCACTGTTACCTATCTCGAAGCGCTGCTCCTTTCCGAGGTTGTTGTACATTACTTTCGTTTTCTGCAGATTAATTTTAAGACCCACCTTTCTGCTCTCCTTATCTAACTCCGTAATCATGAGTTGCAATTCGTCCCCTGAGTTACTCAGCAATGCAATGTCATCGGCGAAGCGCAGGTTACTAAGGTATTCTACATTAAATCTTATCCCTAACTGTTCCCATTCTAGGCTTCTGAAAACTCCTGTAAGCACGCGGTAAATAGCATTGGGGAGATTGTGTCCCCCTGCCTTACACCCTTCTTGATTGGTATTCTGTTGCTTACATTATGAAGCACTATGGTAGCAGTTGAGTCCCTGTAGATTTCTTCCAGAATGCTTATATATACTTCATCTGCGCCCTGATTCCGCAGTGTCTGCATGATGGCTGATGTTTCTACTGAATCAAACGCCTTCTCGTAATCTATGAAGGCTATGTATAGTGGTTGGTTATATATATATATATATATATATATATATATATATATATATATATATATATATATATATATATATATATATATATATATATATAATATATATATATATTGCCGCGACAGGTTGGCCACGTTCAAGTAGCCCGCCGCAATCATCGTGGCAAGAGCACAAGCAAGACCCGGCTGGCATGCGCCACGCGTTCGTGCGCTCCGGCAACGAGAAAGAGGAAGATAGTTAGATCTGTGCCACTCGGCTATTCGTACTTGACGACCATAGTCTTTAGAATCCTGGGCACAAGTTCGCCCTAATAAATACGCTTGTTTTTTAACCTGTCTGCCTCAGCATCGCTACAATATATATATATATATATATATATATATATATATATATATATATATATATATATATATATATATATATGTGTGTGTGTGTGTGTGTGTGTGTGTGTGTGTGTGTGTGTGTGTGTGTGTGTGTGTGTGTGTGTGTGTGTGTGTGTGTGTGTGTGTGTGTGTGTGTGTGTGTGTGTGTGTGTGTGTGTGTGTGTGTGTGTGTGTGTGTGTGTGTGTGTGTGTGTGTGTGTGTGTGTGTGTGTGTGTGTGTGTGTGTGTGTGTGTGTGTGTGTGTGTGTGTGTGTGTGTGTGTGTGTGTGTGTGTGTGTGTGTGTGTGTGTGTGTGTGTGTGTGTGTGTGTGTGTGTGTGTGTGTGTGTGTGTGTGTGTGTGTGTGTGTGTGTGTGTGTGTGTGTGTGTGTGTGTGTGTGTGGTGTGTGTGTGTGTGTGTGTGTGTGTGTGTGTGTGTGTGTGTGTGGTGTGTGGTGTGTGTGTGTGTGTGTGTGTGTGTGTGTGTGTGTGTGTGTGTGTGTGTGTGTGTGTGTGTCCAATAAAGTGTGCGGGGGAGAACCGCTGTGGTAGCCCACTTGGTAGATCATCAGACGCGTCATTCTAAGGTTCCAGGCTTGCTCCCTAGCAGCAGCGAGTTACCTTTCATCCACTTTCCCTTCTACACATTTAGATTACGATTACTTGTAGTAGCATTCCCTATATTTTCCTTGGCATCGTTGTCTGTTAGTTCCCATTACACTATGCCTAATTACACATGATCGTAATTTTTTATTCTTGCTGTGTGTGTCTGCAAGAGCATCGTATCATCATAAGAAAATTAGCTACATACTAATGAACTCATTTGCGTGCATTACATTGCTGTTATTTAATTAATGCGTTCGCACATGTGTGTCCATTTCGAGCACAGCCATTTGTCAGATTCATTAGTATGAACTAAATATTTATCCGCGTAGACAGGATAACCGCTGGTCATTAAGGGTAACTAACTGGATTCCCAGAGAAGGGAAGCGGGTTAGGGGGAGACAGAAGGTTAGGTGGGCAGATGAGATATAGAAGTTTGCGGGTATAAATTGGTAGCAGCAAGCACAGGACCGGGTTAACTGGCGGAACATGGGAGAGGCCTTTGTCCTGCAGTGGACGTAGTCAGGCTGATGATGATGATGATGAAATATTTATCGCCTTCATTTCTTAAATGTTTATGTTTTCAGGTACAGAAACTATAGCACCCTTCGTCGACGCTTTTCTTAATGCATCTCAAATACCATTCCATTTCAGCCATCGCATGCCTGAATGCTACCCTAACCTGCAAGGACGTGTGCTTGATGAAGGACTCGCACCGAGACACACGCTGTTGTCGAAATTGGGACCGCGACCACTGTGAACGTAAGTGAAGCGTCAAGCTAACGCAGTTTATTTCTTGACAAAAAATAACTCGGCTGATTGATCGCATTGATGCCGATTTTGACACGATTACGGGGGTGTATCGACTTATGTTTGACCTTATCAATGATCAAAGGCGCCACTAACTTTATGTATTTAACTAGTCATCTTCACAGCGTCTCTTATAAGTGACACATCAGCCGGGCTAAACAAACGAAAGGAAAGGCTCGCAATGTATGATGATTTATAAGCACCATTCTGTGCAGGTATTTGCGTACATAGAAGTTATTGCGGTGAATAGAATTATTATGACGAATAATTTTCCCCAGATCGTTGCTTCTTGAATTAACTGAAGACTCGGTGCGCGATACCACTCAGATGGATAATAGCATATCAATTTACGTGCAGGAACACCACACAACGGGTCTTTTTGTCCACCTGGTTACATTGCTGACCTAGACACGAAAGAATGCAAGCGTGAGTAGCCACTGATATTTTGAATGCACTTACCGAGATCTACATAACACATTTCACGCTATCACAGAAGGAAGCACACTTCTGTAATTCATCACTGACGAGACCTTTTACAAGAAGCCAATTCTAGAGATATCTCAAATCTCAGCACTGATACATCGTAAACGCAACCCAATTGTTTCAAAAACCTCATATGTTATTAATAGAACTGCCTGCCAGTGTTTACTGAGAGAGAGAGAGAGAAATAATTAAAAGGAAGAGACAGGGAGGTTAACCTAGACGAACTGGTTTGCTACCCTGTACGGGGGTGGGGAAAAGGGTCGGAAAGAAGATAGCTATAGAGAGATATAAAATAAATTAAAAAAAAACACATGCGCACACACTCAGGGAGTTCCGATCACAGTCGTAGTGTTTACTGAAATTACTGCTCTACGAATACAGGCTACAATAACGGTGCTGTAAACAGGGCAGTCATATACAAGGTATAAAAAAACGTTCAACTCCCTTAACCTTTTGTAATCCTTGAATCAAGTTAGGGAATGCTCTAGCGAACAAACATCGATAATTTATTTGATTGCACAAACACAACGCTTGTTTATTGTTGCCAGGATAAATGCATTCACTCTGTATTTCAAAATAAACCACGTTTAAATAAACTGTGAGTTAGTTATTCGTTATTAAAGTGCGTATTAGCTTTTGAGATAAACATAACACAAGATCAAAAATTTCGTGCGGGTACAACCTTTCGGCATCACTTCTCTGTAATGCATACCCTGCTACATTTTTTGTTTATAACAAGGTACAATAACTTTGCGATTTCTTGAACTTGTATTTATTTATGAACACTAAGAATTCTACTCTAGAAAACGGATCGGAGTGAAACATCGTTTTGCAATCTCAGCGTTTCCATTTTATTTGCTCTTTAGCCTTATGTAAAATGCATAATACACGTTTAACTGAGTGACGTCACTCATGATCTCTTCTAGACGTATGCAACACAACGCATGCTACCGATATATGCGATCATGGATGCACGCAACTGTCTGAAGACAAGGCTGACTATACCTGCAACTGCGGCCCCACACAGCAGCTTGCAAACGACGGCATCTCCTGTGTCGGTAAGACAACACGGCACGCTTGAATGCCACAGTTAGCTTTGAAAATCTACTCATTGTACACACAGATTTTATACCGATCAAGTTCGTGACCCAGCACGTGAACTGCTGCGTTAAGCGTGAGGTGCTATATGCGCGCTTTCAAGTGATAATCCTACTTCTTTTTTTTTATTTTTACATGGAAGTGATTTATTTCGAGGTTCACGAATACTGCATGATGAATTTCCATCTTGGATGTGTTCTTGGTAATAGGCACACTAGCGAATGAGAAAGGAAAACTACAAGAAAAAAGCATGGTTCATCCGTCCGTCTTAGGAATCGGTATAACACGAAAGGAAAACTTTTCCTTACAGAAGACGTTTAGTGCTTACTGACCTATGATATAAGAAAGCTTACACAATGTCTGTTGGTGCTTGACAGCTAAATTTAGGCACCGCTTTTCGTAATTGCATCCACCTTGAGGCTTAGTGACACATCTCCATCCCAAGAATTGACGTCCATGAGTAGTGATTGATTAATGAATAAACATGTCCGCGGTAGCTCTAGTAGTTAATGGTGAGAGCGGAACAAAAGAATACAGTGTGACAGCCAGAAGAGTGTGACTGATCGCACGCCAAACTCTGGCTGAGGTCCCCAGCTCGTGGCGTGTTATAGTGACGCCATTGCCCGATTAGAGGAGTACGCATCGTATGTTGTTTTCCTTTTGACCAGCCATGATTCCTCGCTTGGCGAGCGTTGATTTATTTATGTGGGAGGTTTAACGTCCCGAAACCACGCTATGATCATCAGAGACGCCGTAGTGGAGGGCTCCGGAAATTTCGACCACCTGGGGTTCTTCAACGTGCTCCCAAATCTGAGCACACGGACCTACAACATTTCCGCCTCCATCGGAAATGCAGCCGCCACAGTCGGGATTCGATCCCGCGACCTGCGGGTCAGCAGCCGAGTACCTTAGCCACTACACCACCACGGCGGGGCACTTGGCGAGCGTCAACGGTAGTAAGCGGGGAACGCGGAGTTACATTCAGGTCACGGTGTAAGATACAAAAATTGTTTATATTTTACGCCATGGTCCAGGCAAAGCAAGCGCGTTGCTGCTCTAGGCTTTGCAGAACTATTGTTAGTATGAATGAATGTTATAAGCCACGCTGACGCTTTGGGTAAGGTCGCCATCTGACAGTGTGTTCAAGCGTTGACAAATTTTCACTTTTGGAAATGCTTCGAATAGGTCGGACGCATAAAAACGACGCGTAGAAGGATCTAATCATGAATTCTACGGTCATGATGCATTACTACACCTTACCAAGAGTACTGTGAGAGGGCAGTAGCAGATATAAAGGGCTTGCTTTTAAAGCCTAAAAAGTGCATGACCATGGCTCAGTGGATAGCGTGCCCGGCAGCTGTTGTCGCCGACCGAAAGGTCGTGGATTCTTTTCCCGCTGACGGAACTTTTTTCTTTCTCTTGTGAAAGTTATTTTTTTTTATACGTCATTTCTGTGACGGAAGTAAGTCACTGGAATTTGGTGGACGCCGGCATAAAATACTTCCGTGTTGAACAGTTTCGCCACTGGGAATCGAGCTCAAGGCATGTTGGTCCCCGAAAAAAGGCACCTGGCGCTCTGCGAAATACACTATACCGCCGCTCGGGCACGAGACATTACAAACGCGTTTTATATCTCGCACAATCTCTCTCGCATGCTAAACTCAGCTGGCGGGGTAGGGTGGCGTGGTGCCACCGTCTTTAAATGATGAAGTAAAAGCTGCATCGCGACACTAAGAAGCATTGATAGGAAGCGCTTCGTCCACGACGCAACAGCATCTCGATTTCCGCGAGGAATGCTATAGACACGCTAGCATCTAGAAGTCGCGCTCAAGCTCGTGCGTTCTTCGTCTTTAGCTTCGTGTAAGAGCGCGACGGCGTTGTACGAGTGGTGCAGCTTTCGCGTGAAAAAAACGGTTTTTCTGCCACATACTTCTTCGAGTGCGATAGCACCGATTAATAAATCTGCTCTGATAAGAGTCACCGAAAGACGGTGATGTCGACTACGAAGGCCGTGCCTTGGTGGAGCAAGCCAGAAGCAACGGGAAGCCATGCCTTCACGCGTTCACGGTTTAGCTACGAACCTCTGCCTATCGCGTTGCAAAAATGCAGTGGTTTATGGTGCGATATAGTATAGGTTACCGCATTACCATGAAGATATATAGTACATCTTATTATTGGAGAGCGCACTATACTTTGAAGAAGCGCATATATATATATATATATATATATATATATATATATATATATATATATATATATATATATATATATATATATATATATATATATATATATATATATATATATATATATATATATATAGTACCTGTGTGCATTATGTGCTTGTTGATACTATCTTTGTGCGGGATTCACGATATGCTGTGTCCAGGTATATGTTAACAACTTCCGCTACCACAACGGTTAACTCATAATCATGAGCGTTAGTCGTCGCGATGGAGAGGTGCCACTATAGGTGTCATAATATGGGTGCGTCTACGTCAAATGACGCTATATGTAAGGGTGTATGTTCCACACACCGAGATACGTTATACGAGCTCGCATATATCAAATCACAATAAACACTCAACTAGCTTCTTCTGTTAAGACACGTTTTGTTGTCGTGTTATGCCGATTGCTATGGCAAAAAAAAAAATCAGGCATGTTTTTTTTTCTCCTTTCATATTTAAGGTCAATAATTTAGCAGCACTTTTTATTATTCCTGCGCTAAACAATAAGAAATCATACGAGGCGTGTGCCAGCAATTTAGTTTACAAAGACGGTGAGCTGTCTATAAAACGACAGCTTTGTTACACAGGAACACGCTGTAAGAAGTGGCGGAGACACAGGAGCGATGCAGGTTGTCCACCACGTGTTCCCGTAAAAACATCGCGCGAGAGCTGGTGATTCCATTCTTTAAAATTAGGTCTCACTTCTGCAGCATTCCTCATCAACAGCCAGAGCAAATCATCATTGTCCCCATCCAGTGAAATGTCCACCCCGGCTATAACGAGGGTCAGGGCAAAGGCTCTATACTACAAAGGGCTCAAGAGCAGGCCGGGGAATGCTGCTTCGTCTATGCGGCCCGGTATCCCGAGGGGAACGCGTATGCGGCAGTGAGCATCAATTACGAGGGCAGTATCACAAATTCCACAACGGTGCGGACAACGATGGCCGGAAAATCACCGCAAATGGAGATCGCGTTGTCTTTGCTGAGCAACAGGAGGTCCACTATCTGCAGCGACTCGAGATCGGCGGTCAGAGCATTTGCCAAGGGCACAATATCGGAACTAGATTTGCGGATCCTTCGGAACAAGGAGATCGAGCCACACACACCCATTTGGTTTCCAGCTCACATGCGATGCATTCAGGAAGCCCCGCCCAATCTCAACAAGTCAGCCCACACAGCTGCGCGAGGACTGGTAAACGACGTAGCTCTCGGGGGTGCGGCGCTGATGTTTTTGAAAACTGGGACCCTCTCATCTCGTATAACGAACTGACAAAGCATTTTCACTTGGTGCGGAGGCAATACCCACCACCACACAGAAAACTTAGAGGACCTCAAGCACTGACACTGAGAGTTTTTCAAGTCGGGGCGCACCCTAACCCCGCGCTATTGCACAAGATTTATCCCTAATTACAGCCAACTAATACATGTGACTTTTGCAATGATATAGTTCATTTAAAACACATGCTCCAGCGGTGCCCTGCATTACGCTGTGATAACGTCCTCACACTTTCCAAATGGGGGTGGGGGGTGGGGGGCTAATACCAGCTGCGAACTCGAACAACAGTTATGGGCAGGCCAACGGGCCCGCGACGAAGCAAAGATACTTGATCTTTCTGTTCCGACTTTGGGAGTGGCCCGCAATCTGCTAAAGCACGTTCCAAAGGACCTAATAAAGTTCGTTCATCCATTGTTATACAGAGTAAAATGACAGCCTAATTATGACTAGCACTTTTTTTTTCAATGAAGCACACAAAGGCAAGTGCTTTCCAGCTACATTAGCTTTGATTACGCAAGCTGCAAAACGTTTGCTTCCTGCTTTGGGGCTATCCTTAAAAACTGGGAGATTACAAAAATTGGCGCCAGCTTCAAAACAATAACCTTTCTGTGCCAGTACTCAAAAAAACCCTCTCAGCTAGAATCGAAAAAATAAACTCACGCCAATATTTATGCTAGACATGCCACTATTAAGCCTGACTATTCGTCAGTGAATGGCATTTGCGCGCTAACGGCTTTCAAAATAAGGCTCGTCGTCTTTACTGAGAATACATGCCTTCCTTGATCAGCGCCCAGCCGAAGTGGTCTAGTTGTTATGGAGTTTGACTGCTAACCCGAAGATTGTGGGATTGAATCCCGACTGCATTTTCGATGGAGGCGAAAATGTTTGAGTCCCGCGTGTACTTACGTGCACGTTGAAGAGCCCCAGGTTGTCGGAATTTCCGGAGCCCTCTACTACGTTGTCTCTCATGATCGTAGATTTGGGTGCACGTTAAAGAACCCCAGGTGGTCTAAATTTCCGGAGCCCTCCACTACGGCGTCTCTCATAATCATATAGTGGTTTTGGGACGTTAAACCCCACATATCAATCAATCTCATGATCGTAGTTTTGGGTCATTAAAACCCTGACCATATTATTATTTTCTTTTAGTAGCACCTATTTTATTTTGTTATTGCAGAGAGAACGAAATGCCACGAAGAGGACGTCATCAAGTGTGAGAGCGAACAAAAAACATGCTTCTACGATAACGGAAAGGCAGTGTGTCGTTGTCGGGACAACACTCTAGAAATCAATGGCACTTGCATTGGTAAGTGTACCGCAAGTGGTCAAGCCAATCATCTCGAGATGGAAATAATCAAGCACGTGATTTTTCACGAAGTGCGCGTTTGTTTTTAGTACAAGTGCATGAAAACAATATTACATGTACCTTCCGAAAATTTGTTTCAGACTCATGTACATCAACGAAACAAAGAGAGTGTTCGGTCATCTTCGGAAAATGCAAAATAATAAACCATTATGAGGCGTGTATGTGTATTGAACCACTTCTTTGGCACCCCGAAGAAAAAAAGTGCTTTCTTGGTAAGCATGTGCGCCGATTTGACATCCCGGTTCGTTGTCACTCCTCTTTCTGACGCTATGTGTTTCTTTTTTACTTCAGAGAAGACCCATAAGTATGTTGCCCGCTTTCGAGTGAATGATACAAGTTCGCCGAGTGCAGAGTACGGGGTTGGTGAATGCGACGACAAGCACGCCATGATGGAACAAGCGGTATGTGTGCCAGAAATTAAGTGTCTTGCTATCACAACACATGGCGGTGCTTGAACTGCCATACGGCGAAACTGCCTCCGACGGGCTACAATACAACAATACGGTATCATGCATGCATGGTACGGGCTACGTAACTACAATACATTCTGTACAAATCGATGTATGCCGGCACAAGCAGAATATGGAATTTTTTCTACAAGTCATTCATATATTACATTTCCTATTTATATTTATTTGACGGTTAAGTTAGGGCGTGAATGCTTCCGTTTGTAAGGGTCTAGATACTGTACAGAGGATACATTTGAGTTTCTATATTGGAAAAAGTAAATAAATTGCGTGCTTTTAAAGATAAGTTCTCTAACCAGTTGGCGCGTTGTATGGTGAAAATTTTGAAAAAAATGGTGAAATGGTGAAAAAAACCCAAAATGGTATGCGTGCGCAAACACACACACACACACGCACACACGCACGCACCCACCCACCCACACACACACACACACACACACACACACACACACACACACACACACACACACACGCACACACACACACACACACACACACACACACACACACACCACACACACACACACACACACAGGCGCGCGCACAAGCTCTTGACGAGCTTTAATATTAAGCAACTTTTATAACAATCACAGTGACATAGATAGGAGCGGGTGCAATTTTCATTGAACATGCCGAAACAAAAGCGCATATGATGACGCTTCGCGTTTCTTATATACATAATACATAATTCTTTTATTAATCGTATTACTCATTAGTGATATGATGGTCTTTCAGAGATTAACAAATCCTTTTCAGTGTCCTCTATGTTTTGAGGCTTAAAGATGCTAAAGATGTGCATCTAAAGATGTGCATCAGCTTTCTGCGCATACATCAGCGCAGGGCCGCATGAATGCAAATTCTGGAATTGCCACTGGATAGGATGCGTTCTTGAGATTAATTAGTGAGTACGGCAGCACTCAAGTGCCGCCTTGGTTGTCTCCCCGCTTCAGGGTCGAATCAGGCCGAACATCCGCACACACAGACATTGGGCATAAGTTACCAGTACTCCTTGCTTTGTGGTTTTGCAGATGCAGATCTTGTATGGAGCTTCGCTGACCAGCATACGCATGCTTCAGTGTTTGTAAGTTAAAATCTGGTTTGTTTGTTTGTTTGTTTGTTTGTTTGTTTGTTTGTTTGTTTGTTTGTTTGTTTGTTTGTTTGTTTGTTTGTTTGTTTGTTTGTTTGTTTGTTTGTTTGTTTCATAGGGCACACAGTCTTTCGCATTGTGAACTTAATGTTTTGATTAGTTTCCCGATAAATCTTTGTTATCGCGGGCTGGATATAAGTCGGTTGACATTCCGCACAAGACGTGCTGAAACACACCTACACGTCCTCTATTTAGTTACAATGGCAATCATATGAACACCCCAGGCCCGTTTTTGCCAACGCCGCCACCGTGAGGTTCGTATAAAGTCCAAGAGCAATAACATCGCTCTGCGCATCGTGTGTTTTTGAGGACGAATGAAAGCATGTGATGGCAGCTGTTGATCGCGTCTCAAGCGGTGAGGAAATGTGCCAGTTTTGTTTTGTCTCGCGAAAGACCCATAAGGAGTCCTCAGGGTTGCCACTGCTAGCCCGTGTAGGAACTGCGTATTCTGTCCACCGTACCATAAGTGCTTCGTAGAGATGTCAGCGCTTAACATAGTGTATGTCATGTTCTCATGACTCAGTTTATGTTGAAGTGATAGACAGCCCGAACGTCACTTACGATTGCTTTTCCTTACGCCAGCGTTTTGTTGAGTCATGTCAATAGGGATGCTAAAGCAATTCGCTGCTATCTTGACATCAAGCAACGTTCTAATTTGCCGATGTAATATTCATTACTTAGCCCCAACGGAGCTATTGTGACTTTTTTTATAACTTCATGCCCACGTTATTGTTACGGTAAGTGGGGGTCAGTTGCTCCATTATTAAAGACAGAAAATATGCCCAAATCGTGCTGCATAATGGAGCAGCGCGTGTTTGGGAACACCCAATATCCGGAAGTACAGCTGCCAATGTTTCACGAGGCAAATCGTTCGACATAAGATTCATTATCTGTGTGTGTGTGTGTGTGTGTGTGTGTGTGTGTGTGTGTGTGTGTGTGTGTGTGTGTGTGTGTGTGGGTGTGGGTGTGGGTGTGGTGTGCGTGTGCTGTGTGTGTGTGTGTGTGTGTGTGTGTGTGTGTGGTGTGTGGGTGTGTGTGTGTGTGTGTGTGGGTGTGGGTGGGTGTGGGTGTGGGTGTGTGTGTGTGTGTGTGTGTGTGTGTGTGTGTGTGTGTGTGTGTGTGTGTGTGTGTGTGTGTGTGTGTGTGTGTGTGTGTGTGTGTGTGTGTGTGTGTGTGTGTGTGTGTGTGTGTGTGTGTGTGTGTGTGTTAAGCAACGATATCACCTCCTTCGTTGTAGGCCCGTGTGCTCAGATTTGGGCGCACGTTAAAGAACCCCAGGTGGTCGAAATTTCCGGAGCCCTCCACTACGGCGTCTCTCATAATCATATGGTGGTTTTGGGACGTTAAACCCCACAAATCATCATATCACCTCCTTCATTTGCGTATTGCAACAAACACTTACACAGATTTCCTTGCGCTCATCCTCGTATGCTAGGATTTCTGTGTAGGAGCTGATTTGTATAGTCATACACTGCCTTAATTGATTACTTTCACGCTAACAGTGACGAGTACAAGGTGGAGCTTAACTTTGCAAGTGAACCCCCCAGCGTGCTGCTTGGAAAAATCCGCACCTGTGAGCATCCAAATGAAAACGGTGGCTGCTTCTTCCCGCCAGCTTTGAACATCGTCAAAGACAGTGTTTCCGGTAAGTGACCTGCAAGGCGACAAGCAATAAGGCACCCTCGCTGGAGGTCGTTAAGAATATTGCGCAAAATTACTGATTAATCCTAACACAGTGATGCAAACGCTAACCACAACATAACGCACATGGTAAAAACCACAATGAAGTTGCACTGCCCAGTTTCCTCAGAGCTGATCCTAAGCTTCCTACATAGATGAAAACTTTGACCTATAGTCGAAGTGTGTACTGAAGTTTTGTGCATCGCATGTGACGGAATAATGAATCACGTGTGTAGTGGCCTAGAGCTCACTTGCTTGCTTCAAACGGCGGCCTTATATAGCTCTGTAAATGCAGCATTTAGAAATTATTGTGCACGCGCACACTGATTCGTATTCATTACCCACCAAAGTGTACATCAGAAATCTATTTATCGATTGTCAAGTGTCTTTTCTTTCATTCCTGGAAAGTCCGTGAAGCTGGCACGTGTTATTCAGAAAAAAATGTGATGTCTTTTTTTTAATCTTTTAGTAATGTCAACTAGCGAGACACGTACATTCGATGAGTTCCAACGAAGTTACATATGGACTTCAGTTAATAATCAGATTTCACCAGAAACTATATGGCCTGTTGTGATTTGTATTAGATCAACCTTTGTAGATGCCGGCGTCATTTTTGTTCCACATTCTGCAAAATGAAGAACTGAATTACAGAGGTCGCATATCTGACAATATCTCCCGTTCCTTCATTGTTATCTAACCGGCGTTTATGATAAGATGAGTCTTCTTAAATATATCCACACTATCAAGAAAGAGGGGCGGGTAATGTGAGCACATAATATACCAACTGCCATTTAGGCGTCTTTTCTGCCTTTTTTGTTTTTGTTTTTTCTTGACATTTTTTAGAGGTCAGAGAGGAAGACCTCTGCGAAACTTATCTGACTGGCAACCTGGGGCATATGAAGGGACTCTACGTGTGTAAAAAACGAGAGAATGGACGCTATGCCCTGCAATGCTCGGAAAAATACAAATCCATGTCGTATTTCAGCCAGGGTATGCTGGATATCAGCATATGCACAGGTGAGACAACTGAACTAATGTCTATACATTGCATCGCTGCTCGGTATCATAGTATATAGGAAGAACTATGCAGGGTCATCGCTCTACCAATTAAGAAACTTCCCTTCAACAAGTTTCACTTAAAGTGTCGTTGCGAACGCGTACGTATAGTTCCCGATCTGTTTAATGGATTGTGCAAAAAAAGGATACAAAAGGTGATAAGATGGCGTGAATTCGTGAATTCTCGAATCAGCTCAGCATAGAATACACTTACTCAGACAGTGTCACTTTACAGAGCAAAAATGTGAGCTCTACTGCACGGGTCCGGAACGTCAGTGCGTGGAGGGGAAATGCGTGTGCCACGTGAACTACTTCGAGGACGCCGAGGGAGTGTGTGTCCGTGAGTATTCTGCCGGTGTCACTCCTTCGACTCATTGCGGCCGGAGGCGGAAGCAAGTGCGAACTTTGTGCCAGTTGACTACACCGTTACGTATTTGTCTACGTTAAGAAAAAAACAGCACCACTATGTTAATATCAAGCAAGGTATTGCGGTTAATAATATAGCTCACAAACGAGCACCACGTGAAATTGCACAAAACATGACTACGTTTTCAGTCTGATTAAATTAACGGGGTGGAAATCATTCCTGAAGTGCAAGGGCAAGTGCAAATGAAAGATGAGTGGCACCAGCTAGTGTGTTTGTCCTTACTGCCATTATCACTTTGTATTACATTGTTGCAACGAGGTTCTGTTCAAAACAAGTTCGTTCTGGCTCAGCACGTCCACCTCGGTGAAACAGTGAGTATACGGTGCTCGGCAGCCGACCCGAACGAAGGTCGTGGGTTCGAATCCGCCCACAACGATCGCATTTCGATGTTAGTGAAATGGTTGAAGACCGTGTACCTTGCGGTGTCAGTGCGCGGTAGAGAACACCAGATTTCTCGAATTTTCCGGTACCCTCCAATCAGGCGTCTTTTGTAATCATATCGTGGCGTTAAACTTATTATTATTATTATTATTATTATTATTATTATTATTATTATTATTATTATTATTATTATTATTATTATTATTATTATTATTATTATTATTATTATTATTATTATTATTATTATTATATGGCTCAGTACGCTTTCAGGCCTGCCTCACCTAATGGCCACATACTATGGCTTGCACCCCTAGCCAAGAATACGCTCTGCCGGTAACCACTGCATCTTTGGATGTACTCCTGACTTCGCGACAGCCAGCCATTTTTTATTTTGTCCCGATACTTGTTAACAGTGCTATTAATTAATGTTATTACTGTACAAATGCCAATAACTTTCGCCGCTTTACCCTAATTTTTATGTTTAGGCAACTTAGAATGTTTTGCTTTAGCAAGCATAACAAATTCATTGTGAAAGCGAAATAGCAGAAGCTGCCATTACGGCTCAAGTAATTTAAGTGAAGTGGCATTTCTCTTAAGTGAGAATGAATGATGTGCATTCTCACAAGAGGGTACTTCACACTAATATTGGTATGCTTCATTATATTTTCTTTGCAGCTCACTGCTCTAGGAAACCTTGCAAAAATGGTGGCACTTGTGAAACTGGAGTGAGGACATCTTTCTATTGCAGGTAAATTACTTCGTACCTCGGAAAATTAGAAATAAGGGTGCCTTATTTGCATTTAAGTGAGAATTAAAGAGCAAATCTAGTAAGTTCATGTAGCATTCAGATATTACAAATAATCAGTGGCGCATCAGTCGTCTAAAGAGTATCGCAATCATAACTACGGGTGGCGAGATATATTACAGTGTGCTTTTTTCAGTTGTCCACCTTACTTCACGGGCCCGACGTGTGAAGTACCATTTCAAGCATACGCTGGTAAGTCCTGGAAATTCGTTCCGCGTTTATATCTCTCCTTCAATTACTCTTATGGCGTGCTTTATTGTGGAAATGCCCTATTAACTGAGCTAGAAACTTAGCTCTTTATTTGTAAATGGTGCGTATTAATAAAGCTTCGACATTATTATTACGGTGTCAAAAAATCGCTGCACACAACATGTACATAGAATGAAGGGGGGATTTAGGTAGACTTAATCAAGATTCAGGATTACTACAATGCTACTTGTGCTTCCTAAATTCACTTATGCTGTGATACCGTTATACGATGTTTGACCTATCAGTCACCGGTATATAGACCGTACTTCGTTTTTATGCCTGGTTCCCACAAATACTGACGCAATAATGCAGGAGACAGCAAAACGGGCAACTCAAAACTTACATCTATAGCGCAGATATATCTCTCATCATCTATAGCGCAGATATACTTTACACAAAAATATACTACATGCCCAACCACTCAAAGCAACCTAGAAGCGACATACGTGGAGACACTTTTCGTGCAGGTTTGGATTATTTTTTGTACACACACACACACACACACACAAAGTAGTTTTGTGATGCTGTCCTTGCGCTATTTCTAAATGTATGTAACGTCAATATGTAGCTCGAAGCTTTGTGGTTGCATAAGTCACAGAAAACCTTTGTTTCCCTTTGTAACGTGATGAAAATAATTCACAGTGGCACTTTAAGCGTAACATCATTAACTTTATCAACAAACATTACATAACGCAACTGGTTATTTGTTGATTATTTAAAGTTAGGTTATATTGCACTATGTATGTTCGCTTATAGTGTATACGTAAGAGAATAATTTGGCCGTGTTCTTCCGCACGACTTGCCCCAAAGATGGCGGTTGCTGCGTGGACTGCTTTGTGTATAGTTTTATGTTTGAAGCTAAGCTAACATTTTGTTAGTCTGGACGGTTACATCGAAGGCACGCTTGCGTTTTGACTCAAACCAATCACATTAGTCTTCGCTGGTCATTATTGTTGCAGCTATATAATGCTAACTTTGGTGAATTTCGTCAGCCGTTACAGACGCACAGAAAAAGCTGAGCGCAGTGGGCGTTGTTCTGAGCGTACTCATCATGTTCTGCGTTGGTGCTGCAGCTGTCGTTATACGACGGTGAGCGCTTCTTTTGCCGTTATATGACCGTGACTCCAAATTTCTTAGACAATTTCTTTGTTTCGTTTTGAAAACAAAACTCTAGTCATTTTTATTGAAAAAAAAAAAGAACTAAGGCAACTGAACAAGAAGCCGTGTCCTGATTTTCAGCAATACCGACGATATTATGCGCATTCATTTAACAAAATGTTTATTACGCATTATGCAAGAACATACACCCAATGACCTGTAAATTGGCATGTGTCAAATTTGTATGATAATAGTTGTATGCAACGATATTGCAAACAACTTTTTCGGCGTAAAACCTACATCTGAAATTAAATTTTTTATAGAAATGTGAAAGTGTCAGTAGTAAAATGCAAACCTGACAAACTGCATGCAAATGAAAGCATCTTAAATTTAAACAAACGACACATATATGTAGGGAATGAATACTTGATTTCATTTGTTCTATTATGACTCCTTTCACTAGCAGCTTTAAAACACCCATGCGCAAGGCGATATTTGTGAATGCAGGAATTTGGTATGTTTGCCCTGCAAAGGTATTTTTATTCGCAACTAATTTTCTTAATTCTGGAGTAATGAAAGCGTGCTTACCTTGCTGGATGCATTTTGTTTCATTTTCTTTTCTTTCAGAATCAAAAACAGGAACAGAGCATACGAGGACTTGTAATATAATAAAAAGAAGAATCGTTCCCGACCTCCAGGTATCCAGTTCACATCATGGCCCATAGGATTCATGCTTCATCTCAGCCGCAGAAGCATGTCCATAATAATAAACATTTTTTTTTATTTCCTTGGGGATGGACATGTGATAGTACTCAATTTGTAAATATATCAAACCATAGAGATGAGTTCTACCGAACATACGTGAACAAAATCCAGTGATATTATCGTCGACGCATGTTTTCGCTTCTTTGTGTTCACATGTCGTTATCAAAATGAAAAAAAGGTGATGTGCTGACAAGCTGTGTCAAGTCTAATTGCTTAGAAAAACTTAAAAAAACAAAACATGATTTTTTCAGCTTTCGGTTTACGAAGACCTTCACGAGAAATTTACAGCAGCTGTGAAACGTGAAGTTTTGTTACGTATGTTGGCTCATCGGTTATATCTCAGAGCGGCTCCCCTTACCTAAACAATCAATTAGCTTTGTCAAACATCTGTAATTGTAATATCCTGCAAGCACAGCGAGCATGTTGGCTGAATGATTTCAAAGAACGTTACCGTTGTGGATGCCATTGCCAAACGCGGTGTATTCGTCGCGGTTGTTGCTGTTGATTTCCGTACTTCTTATACGACGTCTTTAGAGACGTCAAAACAGAAGTACGGAATGGACTCGCGTGCGCTAAATGCGAACTACAACGCAATCTCTTCGCCGTTTTATGCTTTACTGTTTCCCGCCCTCTCTCTCGCTTTCTCGTTTCCTGTGCTCTCTCCGTTACGCCAGCGTCATTCATTGCCGGCTGCCGCTGCCAGTCGCGCACCTCCACACGCACTGGCAGCCCGTCCGCGCACGTGACGCGGTGAAGGATCGTTGATACATCTCTTTCCGGCACCGCGCAAAGACTCTTCGAGACGACCGCGATACAACCGTGTTTCGCAATATCTTTTTACCCCGCCGTGCCTGGAATCGGAGTGGCCCGCTTGCACGTTTTCGAAGACCTGTTGTGCTCTGTGTACCTAGGGCGCTCGCGCTGCAGCAAGCCTGAGTGTTGGTACTTGCCTTTACGGAGTACTTTATCTGATAACAATACTGATTGTTGGCCTAGTTGGTACATTGCTTATCTGACACGCACCGTGAACAAACTGAACAGCTCAACCTAAAAATGCGTTTCGCCGAACTTCTCGCGTATATCATCATCGTCGTCGTGGGGCTGAGTGGTTCGGCTGCCACGAAAGAGCCAGGTAGGTCTCTGAAGCATTTGTGCGACCGTAGGCGTTGCTTGCTTTTCGCGGATTTTCATATTAGCATAGGAGAGAAGGCCGAAGGTTTATGACGTCGAAGCAATGATAACTGTCGGGCACTGCATCGCTAGCGGTCGTTCACCCGAATACCTTCGGGAATCGTGGCCGCTACTCACACAGCGTTCGACACAGAAAGCACGTGCAACTCTAGGTGAGCTACGCTGCTTTGATGTATGCTGATGTATCTTATATGAATGAGAACTAACCGACCATCCTTATATTTCTTAGTGAAGCATTTCTTGGTAAACTTCAGCGACATTGAGCGTATCTATCTATCTATCTATCTATCTATCTATCTATCTATCTATCTATCTATCTATCTATCTATCTATCTATCTATCTATCTATCTATCTAGCCGCTTACATTCGGATGCTCTCGTGGACAACCCCTTAACTTGGCGTGAACCAGAATTAGCCTTGGAGGGTAAGATGGTTTGACGAACTTGACGTGCTAGTCAAGATATTATGTCAGAATCCCGTCGTGTACGTCTTCAAACACTTGCCGCACGACAGCGGCACATACCAACTGGCGGGTATGGGCCGCTGCTATGCGGGTATGTGCCACAGGTGATTGGCACTTAGTATCTATACCCAGGAACGACTAGAACACACATTGGCAATTTTAACGCGCGAGCGTTAAGAAATATTCCTAATCAGTAGCATTGACCCGGCGATTGCAAAGAATAAATGCCAGAGTCACAGCTGGAATGGAACCCAAGCCTTCTGCGTGGCAGTGAAGCATCTTACCGCAGAGCTACGCCATGTTTCGGATCTACTTTTCAAATAGACGCTAATCTTCGTGAAACGTCAACAGTGGTTGCAGTGCTGCCTACCCAATTTTATAAGCATCACATATGTGCTCCCTTGACACATCCGTCACGTCGGGTTAACGTCAATTGTGGTTAGTTGCCATGCGCTCAAGTTGACTTATGTAGCAGTGTCCAGGGCCAACATCCTCGCGAGCATCAGCGCTTCGTATCAGCTTCAGGTGTTGCTAACGCGCATGTTCCAGTTGGCATCTTTGTGCAAGTGCAAAGAACTAATTGCATAAACATCTGCAACTCTTCAACATATGCCTGTGCGTGCAGCATTTGTACATATATTAGCGTCGTTTTACGACGTCATCATCATCATCATCATCAGCCTGACTACGTCCACTGCAGGACAAAGGCCTCTCCCATGTTCCGCCAGTTTACCCGGTCCTGTGCTTGCTGCTGCCAATTTATACCCGCAAACTTCTTAATATCATCTGTCCACCTAACCTTCTGTCTCCCCCTAACCCGCTTGCCTTCTCTGGGAATCCAGTTAGTTACCCTTAATGACCAGCGGTTGTCCTGTCTACGCGCGACATGCCCGGCCCATGTCCATTTCTTCTTCTTGATTTCAGCTATGATATCCTTAACCCCCGTTTGTTCCCTAATCCACTCTGCTCTCTTCTTGTCTCTTAAGGTTACACCTACCATTTTTCTTTCCATTGCTCGCTGCGTCGTCCTGAATTTAAGCTGAACCCTCTTTTACGACGTGTCGCTCAATAAAAAATTGCAACACGGTCACCTTCCCTCCACGTGCTTCGCATCACGTCAATTTCCAGGTACGTGGGATCTGACGATTTTTTTTTTTGTGTGTCTGAGAACGAGCCCTTAAATTTACGTTTCTTTCCTGCATTTATGCATGCGCCATACAATATTCGAACATTATCTATGTTGCTCATGTAAGCTCTAGAATAAACTTGACTACTCGCGTCTGCGCGTAATCTTAACTGAATGATCATGAAAAGCCGGGAAGCTGCTCAAGCTTTACGGCGTGAGGCTGCGCCGAGTACTGATAATCGTCTCTGTGCTCGTAAACCAGATGTAGCTAAGTAAATCATTAAAAAGGCGTCACAAAATTACTCGACTATAACACCACTGCGCGATGAAATCTGTATTGCAGTTTGTCTCGCGGAATGAGACGTTGCACTGTTGGCAGGTAAAATGATGTAATTGGGTAACAGCAAGGAAGGAAGAATACACAGTGTGCCATTTTGTATGGAGCTTAACCACAGTTTAACATGCGTTCCCTTGGGGTGGCTACGTTTGCGTTACTAGACAGGAAATACGCTAACTACTCGTCACAAGGAATGGCGTATCAACGGAAAATTGAAAGTGGGGGTTGTTGCAGTTGCCCGCCTATTATTTTTTTCCCTTCACCATTAGGAATTTTGCGTTCCCTGTAGTTCACAAAGCATGGAATTTAGTACTGAAAGGGCTGGAAAAACTGGGTAAATTGGTACTGTTACCTGCATGCTTGATCAATAGCGTGAACAGGAACTCAACACAAAAGGAAAGACGCGGAAAGAGCGTTTGTCCCTTGGTCGTCTTTTTGCGTCTGTTTTTCTCCGCTTCCTGTATTCTTCTCGAATCTTTTTTATTATTATTATTTTTTGCTGCCCGTGTTCTTTTTGTTTCTCGTTTATCGCACTGCCTGTGTTTTTCCGTCTTTGTTTTGCTCGGTCTATTAAATATACAAAAAATATTGTCGGCTTCTGCCGGCGGTTCGTCTTGTACATGTTGCATACATGTTGTTGTTTTAACGTGTGTGCGTGTGCGTGTGTGCGTGTGCGTGTGCGTGTGCGTGTGCGTGCGTGTGCGTGTGCGCGCGCGTGTGTGTGTGTGTGTGTGTGTGTGTGTGTGTGTGTGTGTGTGTGTGTGTGTGTGTGTGTGTGTGTGTGTGTGTGTGTGTGTGTGTGTGTGTGTGTGTGTGTGTGTGTGTGTGTGTGTGTGTGTGTGTGTGTGTGTGTGTGTGTGTGTGTGTGTGTGTGTGTGTGTGTGTGTGTGTGTGTGTGTGTGTGTGTGTGTGTGTGACGTTCGAAGGTTACCGGTTCGGTCTCTGTCCCCGGCAAGTTATCCTTTCGTTCACTTCTCGTTCTTCACATTTAAATTCCATTTACTACTTAGAGCATCCCCTATACTTTCCTTGGCAGTGCTGTCTGTTAGTTCTCCTTAATAAATAAAACAGGCTTTTATTCAGACAACGTTAGTTCGTGCTTCACAAACGCGTTAATTATTGGCAATCGACGCGCTTTAACTGCAGAGGTGGAAGCACCTTACCTCTGAACGGGAGCTTGTTTAGCCGTTTTCACTAAGTCTTACGTAACGGCGAACGGGACAGAGAAAACGAAGGAGGCCGGATGGAGAAGAAACATGAAAAGAACTGAACCATGCTTCCTTCTTTGATAACGCTACCAAGAGGCAAGACGCTCGCTCGCGACTTCGGCTTTTTTTTTTTTTTTTGTCGTCTTGTCTGATTTGCACCATCGAATTCCTTGTACCTCCGCCACTGCTCAGTGTGGATTGTGAACATATACCCCAAAGATAACAGAGATCCATTTCCTTGCTCGAGTACTTGGTATAGTTGCCGATGGGCGCCAACAATAGAGAGTTCAGAATACCGTTTGCAAGCGCTGCGGGCGTTGCGGGCGTAGACGGCGCCACATGAGTTTTATATAGAATAGCGTTTGCCTTGCTGTGATCCGCAGCGCACGATCGCAGCGACAGCGTAGCCTCGAAACTAGCGCTTGCGGGCCGCATGCGGGCCGCCATCACCGCACGCAATTTCGGATTTTTCGCGTGCGGTCCGTGAACGCGAACGCCGACTCGCGTTACGACGCATGTGCAGTGGCAGCGACCGCACCGCAAGGGCTCGCGGAGCGCTATTCTAAAGCTCCCTAATATTGGCGATGCGACCGCGCTTTCCAACCAGCGGCAAGCCACTCGCTTCCTCAGTGCAATGTGATACACCGCCTGTGCGTTCCGACGAGTTCATATCTCACGCGACGTCTTGTCGTCCTTGACAGCGTGCAACTCAGTACGCGGACTTAGGAAAATAGTGACAGAGAAGAGCGCTGCCACACCGACCGACGGTCTGACTGAGTGCCGAAGTAACGTGCACAATGCAGTGCAGGGGCATCTTGTACTACGCTGCCATATAGCGCGGTTGCAGCCCTCTTTTCCCGCAGTTTG